GTTTGGCGACCCCCGTGAAATGGTTGTTCGACCCCAAATGGGGTCCCGACCCACAGGTTGAGAACCACTGGGCTAAAGGGTTAGTGTCATCAAGAAAACTTTGGTTTCCTGGATCATGGGCTGCATTTCCTATGTGAAGGACTCTTAGTAAGGGATGGGCTGCACCTCACAAAACAGGGGAAAATGTACTCAGAAAAACACTGGCCCAACTCATCAGGAAGGCTTTAAACTAAAATTGATGGGGAAGGGTGACCAATCTTTAGAATCTTTAGAACCCAAAATCAATCATAAATCCCAAGAAAACAAATCAAACAATGAGGTAGACAGTGATGAGAAAAAAAGAAAAACTCAAACAACAATCAGGAGACACAGAAAACATACCCATGGACAGGCATAATAGTTTTAAATGCTTATATACCAATGTTCAAAGCTTGGGGAACAAACAGGGCAAACTAGAAGCAATAGTACACAAGAGTGGGTATGACATAGATGGCATTACAGAAACCTGGTGGGACAAAGCCCATGAATGGAATGGACTGGTGGGTGGATACAAATTGTTCAAAGAGGAAGTGGAGTTGAACTATATGTAAGAGAACGCTACATATCTACAGAAATGGACATGATCAAAGATAAAATCTCTCCAGAATGTATATGGGTCAATAGAAGAAACAGATGAATTCTTTGGCAACCAGTTAACAAATATATGTAGGAAGCAGTAGTAATGGGACACTTCAACTATCCAGATATCAACTGGGAGACAAACTCTGCAGTGAGCGGGAGATTAAACAGATTCCTAACATATTAACTTGTTTATATTATGTTTATTTTTAATTTGTTTATTTTTATGTTAAAGGGGAGTTAAAGCACATTACGGACTTGGTTATTTACATAATTGGTTAATGTTAATTAGAGTATGATTATTATATTTGTTACCCTGTACTCAGCTCTGGGAAGTGGGGGAGGGAGAGGGGGGGTTAAGGGTGGGTGGGTTTTGGGGTGTATATTGTAACTTTTATAAAACTTTTCAATAAAAAAAAACAGATTCCTAACCAATCTAGCCGACAACTTTGTCACCTAAAAGGTGGAGGAGGGAACTAGATATAAAGCTATAATTTAATTTAATTAAATAAATAAATAAATAAATACATTCTTACTAATAGAGAAGAAGTGATAGAAGAAATTGAAGTTGCCGGAACCTTGGGTGAAAGTGACCACGTCATACTGAAATTTAATATAATGCAAACACTAGCAATAGAAAACAATCCAACCAGCGTCTTAAACTTCAAAAGAGCTGACTTTAACAAACTCAGAGAGAACCTAGGAAAAATTCCATGGATGAAAATCCTAAAGGGGAAAGCAACCCAAGAAGCGAGGGAAACTCTGAAAAAAGCAATCATAGAGGCCCAGATCAGCACAATACCAGCACAACATGGCTACACAAAGATCTCTCTGACAAACTGAATGACAAAAAGGACAAATACAAAAAATGGAAAGAGGGGCATATAACTATAAGGCCAATTATCAGCAGACAGCCAGAACATGCACAGATGAAGTCAGGAAAGCAAGGGCTCAGAAGAAACAAAGACTTGCAACAGAAATCAAGGATAATAAAAAAAGTTTCTTCCAACATATTAACAACAGGAAAAAAGTCAAAGAAACTGTAGGTCCACTAAAGAAAGAAGATGGCAAAGAAATAACAGGCAACAGGGAGAAAGCAGAGCTGCTTAACTCATACTTTGCATCAGTCTTCACACAAAAAGAAACTACAGCCCAACATACAAAAAAATCACTGCAAAAGACAAACTAGAAAGAAAAATTAAAATAAGAAAATGGTGAAAGAACACTTATCTGACCTTGACGAATATAAATCACTGGGACCCGACAGATTACATCACAGATTTCTGAAGGAGCTGGCTAGCAGATGTTATCCCAGAACCATTGCACCACATCTTTCATAAATCCTGGAACAACGGGGAAGTACCTGAGAATTGGAAAAGGGCTGATGTGGTTCCCATCTTCAAGAAAGGGAAAAAAACAGACCCAGAAAACTACAGATCAATCAGTTTAACATCGATACCTGGAAGATCCTAGAAAAGATAATCAAAAAGTAGATCTGCAAACAACTAGAAGCAAACAAAGTTATAACTAGTAGCCATCACAGGTTTGTTAAAAACAGATCATGCCAAACCAATCTTATTTCATGATAAGGTAGAAAAAGGTGGAATAGACAACATCACCACCAGATAGATCTGAGCTGGCTGGCAAACCATACTTAACGAGTAGTCCTCAATGGCATTACATCCACCTGGAGAGAAGTAAGCAGTGGATACCACAAGATTCCGTCTTAGGCCCAGTACTCTTCAATATTTTCATCAATGACTTAGATGAGGGAATTGAAGGGGAACTCATCAAATTTGCAGATGACACCAAACTGGCAGGAGTAGCCAACACTCCAGAAGACGAACTCAGGATCCAAAAAGATCTTGACAAACTTGAACAATGGGCCCTATCCAACAAAATGAGTTTCAGTGTGGAGAAAAGCAAAGTTTTACATTTTGGCAGGAAAAATCAAAGGTACAAGTACAGATTGGGTGAGACCTGGCTTTAAAACATTAACTGTGAGAGGGACCTTGGAGTCCTAGTGGACGATCACTTGACTATGAGCCAGCAGTGTGCAGCAGCAGCCAAAAAAGCTAATACAATCCTTGTATAAACAGAGGCATAGAATCAAGATCATGCAAAGTGTTAGTACTGATTTATAAAACCCTAGTAAGACCACACCTGGAATACTGCTGCCAATTTTGGTCACCATATCACAAAAAATAAGTTGAGTGTTTGGAAAAAATGCAGAGAAGAGAAACTGATTAAAGGCCTGGAGACTAAAACATACGAAGAACAGCCACAGGATTTGGGTTTGGCTAGTCTAAAGAAAAGAAGAAACAGGGGCAACATGATATCAGTATTCCAGTATTTGAGGGGCTGCCACAAAGAAGAGGGGGCCAAGTTATTCTCCAAAGCACCAGAGGGCAGGACAAGAAACAATGGTTGGAAACTGATCAAAGAGAGAAGTAACCTGGAATTAAGGAGAAACTTCCTGACAGTGAGGACAATTAACCAGTGGAACAGCTTGCCTTCAGAAATCATGGGCGCTCCATCACTGGAGATTTTTAAGAACAGGTGGACAGTCACTTGTCTGAGATGGTGTAGGTCCTCCTACTTGAGCAGTGGCCTGGACTAGAAGACCTCCAAGGTCCCTTCCAGCTCTATTCTCTTGTGTTCTATTTCATTGAGTTTTTCATTTATTTAACCATTAAGAAATTGCTTGATTGTGTTTTTGGTGTGGGGGAGGTAGGTAGGCACTGCCACTTCATCTGCTTTGCAAAATCATGTTACAGATATGCCATGCACTTATTTTAGCTGACATATAGGTACATGTACATGCCTACAAATCGATTGGCAGTGTCATCAAATGAAAACAAACCAAAAGGCAGAGAAACATTGATGGTTCTTCTTAATTGGAAAAGTAACCTTAAGATTAAAACAACAGTATAAGACTACAAACACATAGTTTGTTGATGTAGGTACGTTCGATATATTTGAATGTCTTATTTTTACATTTTTCAGTACATCTTAAAACTCATCAACAAGAAAGCATACTGAGCAAATCAACTAAAGCAATAAGCGAACAAAGCAATGATAATAATATTCCTTGTATTTATATTACCTAAATAGCATAAATAACATTAATAACACACATGCATGCACATATAAAACAGCACTAACTTTTCAGGTTGGGTCATATGAACTCATGCTCTTCTGTTTATATTCAACTCCTGTACCAACCCATCTAGTCTAGACAATAACAACATAAGTGATTCTGTTCCTTCGGTTAAAAAAAGGCAATCCAATGACAATATATAAAGCAGCGTAATTGCTTTCAAGAATAAAAATAATTTGTGACCGATCCAAATTGGATCTTGCAAAATTAATCTGTATTATTCAAAATGAAGCTATTGGTATATGTACTATATGCTGGTCTAACTTGAATTAAGCAGATCAGCAGTTGGAAGCTGGAAAGTTTTGCATATCCCTATGATGGAATTAGCTGATAATCTTGAACCTAAGTCTTTTTTGCAGTAACTCTTAAAAACAAGTTATTGCGCAATAGATTCTCCACATCCATATTTGTCAACGAAAAGACTACTTATAACCAGGCTATTCATCCTTGTCAAGCAAGGGATTACATCTTTTAAAATGGATAGCACAGATCTGTTGTTAGGGATTTATTTGTCTGGACTAATCTATCAAGGATGTAGATCTTGAATAGTGGGCATGGGAACTATGACTGCACTTGACAAATAATGGAAGGAATTATTTTAACAGATGAAGACACAAAGTGAAATCTCAGATTCCATTACCTTGTACTGGGTACCTATATTAAAATAGTAAAGGTTTAATGAGGTATGGCAATATATCCTGTGTTTAAGTTCCATTCAGGTAAGTAATTTATATATTATTTCTTTTGTACTGTTAATGCTTTGATTGGCTGGAATAGCTTTAGGTGTATCATCACTTTAGCTTCATAACTAAGTCTTATCATACATATAGATGAATGTAGAATGATAGTTACATCTGCATGACATCTCTGCAGTTGTTAGGATGGCTGATGTATCTTTGTATTGTTGAACTGTCTTATAGTGAAGCCTTAAACAAAATTGATTTGTGATGTAAGATTGCAGCTGGATGAATTTTAGCCTTTCCTGATTTAAAATTGGGAACCAGTTCAATTATCAATTTTGATGTCATAAATCAATAATTTTATGTGTTTCACTATAAACAGATTTTGCTATACATGAAAGCTTTTGCAATTTGCCTGGCTGTATGGTGTTTGTTACATGCTAAATCTTCCTTTGCTTATCTTTGCGGGAACTTAACTGATGCATTTTAAATGCATTATATTTTCCTTCTTGCTGCATTGTTTTTTCTCTTTTGTGTTGTAGGATCAGGATATTCACCAATAGAAGATGATGAAGATGTGTATGCACGCAATATATATAAAGGTGAATGCTTTGCTTATATACTAATGAGGATCATCTGTTGCCAAGACAGCTTTTTTCTTTTCCTGCTTGGAGCATGAAAGCTTAGGTCTGTACCAGCTAATTTTTGTACAATTTGTTTCATGACACGTTGTGAACAGCCTGTTCAAATTTCATAGTAATTTCATAGATCCATCAGAATTTTAATTTTAGCCCTACATCACTGTTACTTAGTTTTAATCCATATTTCTCCATTATAGTCTGTGTTTCAACTTTTGCAAGCATTATGGACTTCTTAAGGAAGCTGAGTCTAAAATAAGATAATTTGAACCTGCTCAGTCGTGTTCTAAAGGAACATTCTGATTTGATTTTTCTACATTCCATTTGTTTATTTTTCTGACTGTACATGATATCTTCAAGAATCTTCTCCATGTTCAAAGCTGAGAATCACTACAGAATGTCATATAAGTAATGTGCTCATTAATCCAAGGATTACAGCAATGAGGTCTGTTCATATATGTTGGAAATGAAGAAAATCTCATTGTATAAAGCATAGCATTATATGTTCATTTCTGTAAATATATTCACAGTTTTGAAGTTGAGTGCCCAGGCTTTTTTTTATATACTTATATGATAACTCCTCATTTTTACTACATTACCACTGAATTACCGTATAAATTACTTGACCTACATTAAGTAATACAATAGTATTAGCATTATGTATCAATATATCAAACTCACACATTAGAACATGATTTATAGAATGCACCATTTAATTATTAATTATTATGCTCTTATCTCCATCAAATTCTAAAGTGACTGATGCAATCATTTATATATTTTGCAGAGCTTCCCACACTCCATCTAAGACTGCCATCTGATGCAGAAATGAGTAATGACATTTTTCTTCGTATCTTAAAAACCTGAAGCTTGCTATTATTTTGTAAATTTTCAATTGCCTTTTTAAAAAGACTTTCGCTTTATAGGAATCTTTGCTCCCCACCCCAAATTGTCAAAGCTGCTATAGAAGGACTGAGCTCTCTTTCCAATGATCATGAAAGAAGAGAAGGCACCCTTGAAGCTCAGCTTTTAGGCAGAGAAATAGTTGATTAAGCCAGAAAAGAACAAACAGGATGTGTTGCTCACAGTTTGCTTAAGAAGTCAGTTATTGTGGCATGTGTCCCATGGCTGCAAAGTAGAGTACTTCCCCCCCAAATTCAAACAAAGCAAGCAAAATAAATGGAAGATACTTCGGGTAAGGAATTTTCTTAACAGCAATATCAGTGAATATATCTGAAAGTTTAGTGCACTCCAATTCCAGTCATACTTGCTCGGCTGAAGGAAACTAAAAGCCAAAATATTTATATTCCATACTTCTTTATTATATACCCATGTGCAGATCATGACACCAATAATTAATTGGATTTATGTGCTCTCTTTCCACCTCTTAAGGCAGCATATGTAACTCTCCCCTTCCACGTTTATCCACCAACGAAGATAAATAGATTAGATAAACTAGACTGAAAGATGGCAAGTAGCCCAAAGTGACCCAATCACATTCTATAACTGTTGGTGGATCTGAATCAGCCAATGGAAAAAACCTACTAGAGTGATAATACTTTAATAGTAGTAGTAGTAGTAGTAGTAGTAGTAGTAGTAGTAGTAGTAGTAAAGTTGGAAGGGACCTTGGAGTTATCTAGTCCAACCCCCTGCTCAGGCAGGAAACCTTATACCATTTCTGACAAATGGCTGTCCAGTCATGGCACTATCTTGCTTGCTGTGTTAGGTATACATTTTCTTTGGCAGTCCTCTAAACCTGGAACTTGCTGCCTCTGGATGCCCATGTGACCCCTATCCTTTGCAGACAGCACTTAAACCATTCTTTTCAATGGGACTTTTGGGCATAGTTTTCCTTACACTTATCTTTGTTTTTAAAATGTTTCTTTTTACTGTGAATGTTGCCCAGAGTCCAAAGATTGGGTAACATAATGCTGTAAAAAAGCAAGTAAGGATGGTTTAGTATAAGGTTTATGCTAATTAATAAATATGGTTTAGTGTCCTAAGACTCCATAGTACCTTGGTAGTCAATTTATTCATCTTTAGTATGTCAAACTCTGATGATATTGAAAAAGACTTCAGAAAGTACTTATTGAAGATGGGAACACTGATTGTGGGTAGGATGACAACTGCCAGGGAATCAATATGAAGAGTAGATTTCTTGTTTCTTCTCCTTTCAAAATTTGTTTGACATATTCTAAGTCAATGGCTTCCAACCTTTTCTATACCCCGTACCCCTAGAATGCTTTTGATATATTCTTGCACCCCTCACAAAAGTTTGAAATAATGGCAACGAATTACGCATATACACTATAGTTTTGAAAACCCAAGTTTTCGCACCCCCTGGAATATCATCCTGCACCCCCAGGGGGTGCAAGTACACCCGGTTGGGAACCCTTGTTCTAAGTACATTTTTAGAAGTACACAAGAAATTCTTGCAAATGTTTAGATAAAATATGTTTCAATGAATCTGTATGTTAACAAAAGCTGGTACATCCTCTACTTATTTAAGAATAAATAAATCAACTCTATTTAGTAATTTAATTTGTGCAAATAGTGGTTGAAAGATAGTGAGTAGAATATGTTCTGTTATGTCAGAAGCAGGACCAGATAGACTAATTCTACTTTATTGTACAGAAACTTATAAATCTGAATATTTTTTATACAGAATCTTGCAAATCTGAAAATACATTTCTTCCCCATTGCCTTCACAGCCCAGGAAAGTAGAGAGGTTCTCTTCTGAAAGGTTAGCCACATACATATTCCTTTTGTGCGCTGAACTGCCAAGTCTAGTCTGACCATTCCCTTAGCTATGGCTGTCTGCCCTGTCTCCCCAAGTCATTCCCAGATACAATCATGTCTTGTACGAAATTAATGTTTAGTGGGGGGGGGGGAATGGCTGGGAATGGGAACATTCTTCTCACTTTGTTCCATGGATGTGAGAGTTGATTAGGTCAGAAGACGCAAAAATAAATAGAACAGGGAATTCAAGAAGTCTATGTGGTTATCTGCTTAAGATCTAACAATACATCTTATTGTGGTTCCCCATGTGGAATGATTACTGAGGTTTGGGGTCTTCAGTTGATAAGTCCCAGAGCTGACAATATGCTTAGGGTAGAAACTTCTTGGGGGATCTGGTGATGATGCTTTGGTTTCTAGTTGTTTCAGTGTATGGGATGATTACTGCCCATGCAAAGAAACAGTCATAAGACAAAGTTAATTGGAAAACAGAATTTTGCGTGTGTGTGTGTGTGTGTGTGTGTGTGTGTGTGTGATAACTTAATAAAAACAATAATAAGTACTTCAAGAAAATAAATTAAGGAAGTAATGCACATTATTCTGATGTACCAAATTTCCTCAGTCTGATGCCATTCAAATGTCTTCCAGAAAGCTTGGGCAATCTTTGACATGCAATTAGCAAGCTTTGATATCACATACTAATTTATAAATTCTAAGCCTTAAATGTCAATATAATTCCACATCAATACATTATAGGCCTGTATGCTTTAAAGCACATTTTCAAGCAGGCAGCAGGACAATTTGAGGATGATGGTACATTCTCTCCATGGCCCCTTTTCCTATTTTAGGGTTAGTCCTTTTCCTGTTTGAAAGCATACACACAGTATGTGTTTAAGGGAGTCTGCTACACAGGAACCCCCTGCTTGCTGTGTAACTGTGTAACATCTTCTAAAAGGGGATCTCCCCCAAGTGTTTTTCAGCACTTGGCTTGAGTCAGGTTGATGCCTCTGACTTCTGCTTGAGTTTGCTACCTGTGTTTCTTGTCTAAGTTAGGACTTCTTCCATTAATATTTTTTTTACTAGCAATCTGCACAGAGGTTTGTGAATAATTCACGGAGACAGACTGCCTACAGCTTCTTTTTTGGAAAGCTGGCATGCAGGACTGGGTGGCTGATGCAACTCTTAATAGGATAGTGAATTTTGAACATGATCTACTGACATGGTAAAACAGGAAGAGACAAGGTAAAATGAGCTTTTATTAATTAATGTAATTAATTAATTAATGTAATTTGAATACAAGAGTGATTAACCGCTATGAGGGGAGTGCACTGAGGTTCTCTCATTATGCAAAACAAAAAAATAATAAAACAATCTCAAATCTGGAAACAAACAGGAAGGAAGAATGCTAGGATTAAAGGAAGAGAAAACAGTGTTGTGGCTGGATGGAGTTGCTAAGATTCCACAGAACAGAGGGAGAGGAGAAATTCAAAGGGCATAAGGCAATGTATGAATCAGATTATAAGTGTGATAGAATCAAAGATTATTTGCAAAGATAAAATGGTATGGAGGTTTATTGTGGTACTATTGTTATAAAATAGATTTAGATAGTTCTTTTTCCCTCTATTGTCTTTATTTTTCTTGCTTCTTCTTATTGTACTTTTTTTAATATCCATTGCCTTATGTTGTTTTTCCCAAGAAGGAATACCATGAAACATATATAAATATGTAAGTACTGGAATTTTATATAAGTATGTAAGCACTTATATAAGTATGTAAGTACTGGAATTTTATGGTTCTTATTTCACTATTTAAAAGTTCTGATGTACTAAATTTCCTCAATCTGATACCATCCAAATGACTCCCAGAATTCTTGGGCAGTCTTTGTTGGCTGGGAGCTGGCTTTCCTCATGCATTTGGAAGGGATCTCAGTGAAGAAAACTATAATATACAAACCTTCCCATTCTGTCTTCTGTATAATCATCTTGATGCAACCTCTGCCTCCTTTCTGTCTTTGCTGTGGATGTATTCATAGAAGGTTTGGCCAGGTGAACCTTTTTTTTATTCCTTTTCCTGAACTGTTTTTTAAACTAGATTGCCTTGAAGACATGCACTGTGGACACAGATTCATATGGATGGATAATTGGATTTTTTTTTTTTCACAACCACTGTCATGGGATTCTCAGCAATAGATAAAAGCTTTAAAACATTCCTGGTAAAATAAAAGACATCCACAATATAGCTAAAGCCAAGGCAATTAGAATGCATTCTGAAAACCAAGCAATATGTAAGGATAGTGAATGTGATTTCCTCAATTTTAAAAAGGACTTTAGAAAAATTCCTTTCCAACTTGCTTCTGGAAGCCCAACAGTGTCAGGCATTGTATGATTCCCAAGGGAAGGCTATTTCATAACATGGGAGCCATGAAATGCTTCTTCCTAGATTCAGCTGCCTTGGTTTCACCAAAACTGGGAATTACAAGCTATTTTTCCTGTGATATTCATATTGGATAGGTCAATTCTGATTGAAAAGGGCAGTCCTGCAGTCACCTCAGTATCAAGCTGTGTAGCTGTATTACATATATTTTATAGATTGAACACTAAATTTCTCTTTCATGTGCACCTCTTTTAATTTTCCTCCCTGGTGTATAGGTGTTCATGACAAAAATGTCAGTGTGCTAGTCATTAATCAAATGAGACTTGGCTTAAACCAATTCCTAAGTTTTTGAGAATGGCTGTTAAATATTAGGAGAAGTAGAATCAGCTGGTATCACACAGTTAAACAAATTAGTAATCTAATTTGGCTTATAAGAGAAGAATTAAAGTTTTTTTTTTCTTTTTGAAGAACAGAGTACAAAGCACACATGGAACTAAGATGGAAATATTTTCTGTAAATAAAAGGAGAAATTGGGGTCGTGTTGTACTTGCCATTTATTTCAGTACATCATATTCTCAGGTAAATAAGTATAGGATAGCAAGAAACATACACAACATTTTATCCATTTTTAGTACAAATTCAATCTACTTTCTTTTTGAAAGAGAAAAAAAAGTATTTATTGTAGCTGGCCAGTTGGTGGCAGACTTATCCCATAGCAGGAAACTAATGTGGCAGTCCTTACATCAGTACAAATTGCTGATTTTAAAAGTTCAGTATTTGTATAATTTTTTTATATAATAATTCCTGGAACAAACAGGGAAAGACAAAGTTTTCAGTCCTGTAACATTGGAGAGTAAGGCCTTTTGATGATGTAGTTTCTTTTTTTCTGGTGTAACTGCATAGTCTTGTTTTTTCCCCACATGAGCTGCATAATTAAAATAATTCTACTGTTCTTATGTCCTTTGTTGGTTTGTGTCCTGTGGTTTCTCTTTCTAGATACACCATGGTGCTCTCCTATCAAGGTAAAATATGGCTATGCGAATTGCAGAAGTCCTCAAGAAGGGTATTACAGAAATGTCTTGGGGACCACATGTGATATTCGTTGTCAGAAAGGTTATGAACTACATGGTCCTCAGCATCTTATTTGCCAGTCAAACAAACGCTGGTCTGGGAAAGTTCTCTGCAAACGTAAGTGGCTCATTTTTTCCTGAAAATTGCTTTCAAGTTTTTTGCTTCTGATCCTGTTGCTCTTGACCAGTGGTTCTCAACCTTTTTAACGCCGCGACCCCCAACTGGTTGTAAGTCGAGGACTACCCAACCAGTCGTAAGTCGAGGACTTTCCCTGCCCGGGAGCGCCGCGCATGTGTGGTGCCGCCCCCTGCACTGGCCGAGGCGTAGCTGGCAAGGGGCAGCGACAGCACAGGGCGACCACTGGCTGGGCCACCAGCTGGCCCAGCCCAAGGGAGGTAAGGCACCCGCCGGGCCCCACACATCCCAGCAACCCTCCCTGCACCCGCCAGCCTCCCACCTCCCACCCCTGGTCCTCTTTTACTTACATTTTTAGTAGTTGCTCAGCGGGGAGGGGTGGAAACTTCCAGATAGCTCACCTTCGCTGCAGACAATTTGCAGCACCATTTGCAGACTGGGACTTTTGGCAGGCTCAGCAGGGCAGAGACAGCCTGGACAATTCCTATTGGCCTTTGAAAGCCAATAGAATTAGACTCTATTCAAGAGAGTCTATTCTATTGGCTTTCAAAAGCCAATAGAATAAAAGGGAGTAGCACAGCTAAGGAAAAGGGGGAAAAATGGCGGACTAAGTTGTTTGGCGACCCCCGTGAAATGGTCATTCGACCCCAAATGGGGTCGCAACCCACAGGTTGAGAACCGCTGCTCTTGACCATATGTAATGCTCTTATTAGTTAGTGTTTTAGTAGAGTAAAAATTAGTTTTGGAATTCTTTGCTCATACAGAAGAAACAGTAATTTTTAGCAGTGAGGTTTTTCTATGTTTTTCAATGCAGTTGATAGTGTTCAGTTTTATACAATAGAATACTTTTTAGTCTTCCTATATATTTCAAAGGGAAGAACTTAGGTGGGTCTTTTTAGTTGCGTTGTCCATATTAATGGTTGTAATTAATTTCATTTATGTCCCTATGTGTTTATATAAGCTGCTTTAAATGTATGTTTATGTAGCTTTAAGGCAGTGGTTCTCAACCTTTTTAATGCCGTGACCCCCAACCGGTTGTAAGTCGAGGACTACTCAACCGGTCGTAAGTTGTGGACTACTCAACTGGTGCAGCATTGTTTGCAGAATGGGACTTTTGGCGGGCTCAGCAGGGCAGAGACAGCCTGGACAATTCCTATTGGCTTTTGAAAGCCAATAGAAGTAGACTCTATTCCAGAGAGTCTATTCTATTGGCTTTCAAAAGCCAATAGAATAAAAGGGAGTAGCACAGCTAAGGAAAAGGGGAAAAAATGGTGGACTGCGTTGTTTGGCGACCCCCGTGAAATGGTCGTTAGACCCCAAATGGGGTCCCGACTCACAGGTTGAGAACCACTGCTTTAAGGATTTGTTGTGAGTGGAAATGTAATTAATGTAGCTTTTATAAAAAATATACTGTAATTTTTAAGCTTTCCATGGGAAAAGAGTTGCATGAAATATATAGAAATAAATATAAACATCAATACTAAAAAGACAAAGGAAGAGATTTCAGACTTCAATAAGAAAAATAAAAGCTATTAGTTTTCCTTGCAGTGCTTTTATAGATTTTGTGTTTTGGTCCCCTGTTTTTCTTTGTTTCTGACCATCCATGCTGCACTTCATGTAAAAGCAAGGCAGTAGTAAAATTATTTCCTGTTTAGAGCTCAGTTTCTTTATGCAAAATCACCCACCTTTCGCTTCTGCATATTGCAAATATAGAAATATTTAATTTCCACAGAGAATTACAAAGAATATCTTTCAGAACCCTCAGTGTAACTCTGCCCCCCCCCATGCTCCAGTTTAATCCAGATTTGCCCTAGATATAGTCAAGCACAAATAAGCAATCTTCAGGACTGCCAGCAAAATGAGGAAGTCACCAGCTATGAGTGAAGGTAAATGGATCCACTCTGACAAACTAGGTGGATTGTTTGGAAAGTTTGGCAATTTTTCCTCACTTGGAGAATTGGGAATAAATTGCAGTTGAAAGCTGTTCTCCTTCTGAATTTTAAAGGACCATTGTCTCATGCAGTGCCATAATGAAATTCAAGACAATTCATCCTTCGTTTAGTAACCAATCATACTTTGTCTCACACTATGAGGAATGAGACCCTCCAACATTTCAATAAGAATTGGAGGGATACAGTAAATTCTGGAAAGATCTATGGTCACAAATTTACTTCACCTCAATTATTCTACAATACAGATTTCTGTGTAAGAAATGTATCTGCCCTTGTGGATTGGAAGTGATAGAAAATGATACCCATGTTTTATTCCACTATACCAGTGATGGCAAACCTTTTAGAGACCGAGTGCCCCAAAACTGCCCCACCCCACTCCAACCCCTGTGCTGCCCATGCCACCCCACATGCCCGCTGGGCCACCCACCGCCTCCACAGCCCGCCCCAGATCGCCCAGGTGGCCTTGCAGCACCATGGCGGCAATGCCCTCTGCCCGCGCTATGCAGCATCATCTGTGTGGGACAGGGTGCAAGGATAGAGTCTTGTCCCTGCTGCCCGGCTGCCATGTGCTTGTCTGTGCTGCTCCACGTGGGTCGCGCCTAGGGGTGACTCTCCTCCGGGAGGGGCTGCTGGTGAGGAGGGGGCTGCAGGGGGAGGCAGGGCTGACGTGACGGTGCACGTGGCCACAGAAAGGGCTCCAAGTGCCACCTCTGCCACACGTACGTAGGTTCACTTCCACTGCACAATACCCTCTATAGAAATTACTACATCAAGTACTGTATATCACAACCTTTCTGTTGCATCACCCAGCCAATCAGACTACTATTGTGTCTCTGTATTGTTTTCGTAAAAAAAATATTTTTATTGCACATGATATTGTAAAATGTAGTGCAATAAAATGTAGAGCCTGATAGGAAGTAATAATCATGTCTTCAATGATTAATGTTGATTTTCTCTTATAGAAAAACGCTGCCCAACACTTTCTATGCCACCTAATGGAGGATTCAAGTGTGTCGATGGTGCATACTTTAATTCCAGGTGTGAGTATTATTGCTCACCAGGATATCAGTTAAAAGGAGATAGAGTAGTACAATGTATGGATAATAAAGCTTGGAGTGGAAGACCAGCTTCTTGTGTTGGTAAGTTAAAAATCATGATGATACACCATTGCATTTGGATAGTAAGAGATATACTAACTTGAAATGCAAAAGGCAATTAATACAGTTGCTCCTAGTATGCTTTCTGGCACTTGTTATACAATTTCCTAAGGATCAAAAGATAACGCAGCTAAAATGAAACCCAGAATGCAAGTAGTGTCCCTGTCTCCTAATAAAAATGGCTAAAAACAAATGAGAGCCATCATCATTCCTCCATTGTGTTTTCATTGATGACAAAACAGACATATTTCTCTGCATTCATCGCATCCTAAATTAGGTATCCAACAGAGCTTTCTGAATATTTAATAGGCTTTTCAAATTGGAGCAATTAAAGAGAGAGAAAATAACAGTGTAGCATAGTTGCTAGGTCTTTTGGACCCTTGCTTAATATTGTATGTTCAAATCAATGTTCAGCCCTGAAGTCAGGCAAATCCTGTTTTCTCAATCCAGCTTTCATAAAGATAAAATTGATAGAGGATGGCACAGAATCACAAAAGACATAAGTTCTTTAGAAGAGAAGTCAGAATTTTAAAAAATGTTATATAGGCAATCATCATGTATAGATGTTATTTCTTAGACTCATGGTTAACATCAAGCATACATGATTTCAACAATTTTGCAATGGGTTTGGTATTTCTGGAAAGCTATTAGCAAACCAGCACAGCTGCATATGACTTCTTTACATGTAAAACAATACATTCCTACCTTTTGCAAATGTGGGTTGTGTTTATCTAGTAAGTGTTTCAGTGCAGTTAAACTGCATAGAACGTTCTGATCAGGCAAGAAGAATTTACAGATCCAGGGGAGCCTTGAGATACAGTTCCTATAGTAACACAGGATCATTGTATTAATGTAACTGAAATTTATAACAAAATATAAAGGCTTATGTTTTATTATTTAGTGAGGGGCTCCTTAGAATTATATAGCTGAAGCACTGACAATTCCAGAAACTGGAATATTTCTTTTTTTATTAATTTCAATTTATTCTTATTAGATATTGCCTTATTTACAGAGACTGCCTGTTCTTTGGGCAGTGCATTATAAAAAGTTGCCTATCCATTTTTCACCAGCAAAAAATTTTCTTAACCAGCATTAACATTTGTAGTTGTGTGCAGAGCTTCAATTTACTGATGATTGATTAATTTGCCTTAAGCAGGAAGCAAATGTTACAATGCAAAGCTTTTTTTTTTTAAAGACAGTAGTATTCATTGGGTCTAACAGATTTATATATTCCCTTTTTGACATGTATGTATATGCCCAGGGCTTTTTTTCTCATAGAACGCCCAGACTGGAGCTCCGGCACCTTTTTTTGATGGAACCTTGTAGGTTAGGCAAGGAGGGTTGTATGACGTGTGTGAGTTCTGGCACCTTTTTTTTTTTTTTTTTTGAAAAAAAGCACTGTATATACCAGTTTGATTTGTACAAATATTCTAAGAACGTGAAGCTAGATAGCTTCAGGTTATATGTACTTTACTGGAAACACAGTACCTTTCAGCAAAAATGGATACCCAATATGAACTTACACATAATTTCAATTAGATATCCAAATGCAAGCAAAATATTTGAAGGTCTGCAGATGGAACTTTAAAGCTTTAGTCTTCTAGTCTTCTGCCATCTTTAAAAATTGCCATCTTTTTTCACTTGAGTAATTCCACTTTCTTAAAAATCAAGACCATATTTTTGAATTTTGGTGCAAATGTAACCAAACATTTAGTTTTTAGTTTAGTTTTTACAGGCTTGTAATGATTGTGTCAAGCCTCGAAGAATGCCTATGCTATCTCAGCCATTATTGCTTCTTAGCTTGCCTACAGACTCGGGGGGGGGGGGGGGGGGAGGGGAGGGAAGAATTGATTGCAGGCTTCAGGCATCGGACTACCAGCTGTGAGAACCAAGGTTGTTCAAGATTTGTTTACTGAGAACTAAAGACATTCCCTCATAATAATTCTCTGACTTATAACTGGACAATGTGACCTGCACTAATAAGGGAACGGAAATTTCTCTACTTTTAATGCAGCAGTTTAGGCATGAAATAACCAGAGCTGGTTTTCCTTTCATCTGTGCCGAATTGATGTGCTCAATAAAGTTTTGCATTAGAGATTACATCGTCTCAGCTATGCTTACTTCATTGGGTTCATCAGTCGGAACCTTGACAGATTGTCTACAAAGAAACCAAGTTTCTTTGAAATACAGCATGAATGATAAAAATGAAAAAAAAAAAGTATTTTAGAAAAATAGGGCTGCCAATTATAATGCAGTAAAAAAACCGTTTGAATAGAACAACTGTATAGAAAAAGTACTTATTTTTACAAAATTAGAATAATTTTGAAAGAGCACAGATAACTAAAATTGAAGAGTAAGCAAGAAATCACTTTGTGTGAAACATTTTATATCTTTGCATAGGTACTGATATAAATAGTTCTCTTCTAGTATTTTAGATAACATTTTTATTGGTGTCATTTTAATATTCAACAGTTTAATTTTAACTATCTTGGTAGTAGTTTGTGGCTTAATGTTATTACTATTGTTTAAAAATGTTCTATGCTTCAGTAAACACTAGCTTAAAACGAATCATCATGTTTGCGTTTTTATGTACAGACATGGAGCCTCCAAGAATTCAGTGTCCAAGTGTAAAGGAGAAAATAGCAGAACCCAATAAATTAACATCCCGGGTATTCTGGGATACTCCAGAGGGACGAGATACTGCTGATGGCATTTTGACAGAGTGAGTAAATATGTATAGTTAAACAATAAAGTGACAGTACATAAACTTAAAATCTGTACATGAAACACACTTTTTAAGTTTATGTACTTTTAATTTAGTACATAATGCTCTACAAGTTAGTATGAATTAAGAAGTTTACAGCAGTTTAGTTCCTAGGCTTTCTTTCAAACATGCAGTCCAAATAATTTTGTAGTCTAGCAATTGAGGAGTAACAAGATGCAAGATCAATTTTTATATAGTTAGTGCTTACTTTATATCCATATATAGTGTTGCAGGATCCAATCTGGGTCAGTCACCAAGACCAGAGGTTTTGTTGTCTGAGCTTTCTGACTCGTGCTGGAGCCCATCTTCAGGGAACTTCTCTCTAGAAGAGTGTGTGCTGTTCTGTATGTGGTATTTATAGTGCCTGTTGTAAGTGGCTTTTTAGAAGTTACTTGGGGTGTATTGATGGCTGGCTTTTAACTCATTAGCTGTCAATTGTTTGTGCTGCCCAGCCCTCGCCTTTTAAGTACTTGATAGGCTGGTGGTAAATAAGCACCCCTGTTGACTGACGAGGGGCCTATTTCTCAGGCTTTAATCACTTCCCTGGCTGTTTTTGTGCCTGCTCGTCCAACAATCTTAGTAGTTGCAGACTTGAATGTGTGTCCTTGTTCATTGCAGTGTGAGGCTACCAGTGAGGCTATAATGTTAATGTTGTTGCATATCAATAGATGGTGTTTAAAAGTCAGATTCTCAGAAGTTCCAGATAAGTATAATATTAACAATTTAGTCCATATTTTCTAAAATATATACTGCAAGAATAAGACATTTCTGTCTTTTTAAAATTTAGCACTTTAAATTTTATTTAAGCTTTAAATTAAACTTTACATTTTATTTTATTTCATTCATAGTATTGTCTTGAAAGGACTTCCACCAGGATCATATTTTTCAGAAGGAGATCACAAAATCCAATATACTGTGTATGACAGAGCTGGGAATAAAGGAACTTGCAAATTTTTGGTCAAAGTCAGAGGTAAGATCACTTTCCAGCTAAAAATAAGCACAGTCATTGAATCCAAACCACATTCACATGTTACTTGGAGATGTGGACTAGTTTCCTGAATGCACCCATCCTGTGCATTACAGTTCCAATTTATCTGGAAGACACTACACTGGTACAGGCTAATGTAGACAACACAAAATAAATAGGAGCCATCCTTTTCAAAAACATGTGGAGATAGTAAGTTGATGCACTTTGTATGACTGAACTACTACTCCATAATCTCTATTGCACATAGTGCTGGGATTGACTATGGCAGTGATGGCAAACCTTTTAGAGACCGAGTGCCCAAAAACTGGCCCCATCCCTGCCCTGCCCCCACCCTGCCCCACCTGCCCGCAGGGCCACTCACTGCCTCCAGGGCCACTGCAGATCACCCAGGCAGCCCAGCAGCGCCATGGCAGCCACTCCCTCTGTCCGCACCCTTCAGCATCAACTGTGCGGGATGGGGTGTGAGGGCAGAGTCTTGTCTATGTTGCTTGGCTGCCATGTCATTGGCTGCGCTGCTCTGTGTGGGCCATGCTCAGGGGTGATTCTCCTCCAGAGGGGGCTGGTGAGGGGGTCATGGGGGGAGGCGAGGCTCGGGAAACGGCACGTATGCCCACAGAGAGGGCTTTGAGTGCCGCCTCTGGCAAGTGTGCCATAGGTTCGCCACCACTGGACTATGGTTATCTCTTGAGGATAACAAATTCTCTCTCAGATGTAGATAATTATAGCTTCACAGTTTTTGTTGTATAATTCTATAAAGGGTTAATTTGCTGATCAAATCTGAGCATTGCATTCTGTTTACCAATGTAATTTGTTGCACTTGAGAAATAGAAAAAATCCAATTCGGTTTGTAGTTGAAATTCCCATTGTAGCAAAGAGATATAACTGGTGGCATTATTCTGGCTTTAGGATCACTGGAAGTTCAAGTTTGTAAATGATAGTGCAATATGAAAACAGGATTGTTATCCAGATAGTCTTTTTATTATCCCATGAATTAATAAATTATATATTATTTACTAATTACTTAACTAGAAATAAATAATCTTTATTTCTAGTTAAGAAGGTACTAGATTTTCATTTAGATGTACCAGAAGTGGTGATGAATTACCGAATTCTGTTACTTTGTATTTAAAGTTAGGCGCTGTGGAAAATTGAATGCCCCGGACAATGGCTACATAAAATGTTCTGGTGATGGCAACAATTATGGTGCAACTTGTGACTTTTCCTGCATTGGTGGGTACGAGTTGCAGGGAAGTCCAGCAAGAGTTTGCCAGTATAATTTAGGCTGGTCGGGAACAGATCCAACCTGTACACGTACGTGAGTAATGAATAAATCCTGTAAGAGGAGACTGGACAACCATTTGTCTGAAATGATATAGGATTTCCTGCCTGAGCAGGGGGTTGGACTAGAAGACCTCCAAGGTTCCTTCCAACTCTATTACTATTATTATTATTATTATAGAATATAGATCAGAATTATTTGCATTATTTGAAACATAGCTTAATCTAATAGCCCCAGTTTCTTCAATTTTTTTGTTCATAATTTACATATAAAGTGGATAATATTTTGCCAATAAGCATTAAAAACCTTTTATTTTATTTTGTAAATAATCTGCAAAATGGCAGTCAACATAATAGCATTGCTTTTTATCTTTACATTCATTGTATTAAAGCCAAGAAAGTTCTCTCTTTTTCCATAGATCTTCAGTGTTAGGGATCTATGGAAATTTATGGAAAGATCTATAAATATACTTAGCTTTCTGTTTTTTTCCTAAAGTTTTCTCCATTATAATTCTTAATTCTTTCTTAAACTTTCTTAAACTTAAAAAAACAACTGGTGCTGTAGTGTTCAGAATTGGAATGAAGAACACAGCCAATAAAAGGTTATCTGGATTATGAAAATTCATGGATGTCCTCTAACTTTCTTATTCTGTGGATTTCCTGGTCTTTCTGGATAAATGCTGATTATTAAAACCCATATAATAAAGTTAAGAAAATTGAAGGGAGGGGTAGATTGAGGTTTTATTTCTATCTTTTTTTATTTTGTATTTCTATTTCTAAGACTGGGAAAACATCCGCCAAAGAACGTAGGGCTGCTCACATAGCTCTTGTCTGCAGCTACTTAAATTAAATGAGGCTTCTCCTGGGTTAGGCTGCTGAGCAATCCAGGAAAAAAAGATCCAGCTGCTTTAGGAAATTGATGGTTGACGCTGCACGAGCAAACTCTAACTTTCCAAAGCATCTTTCCCCTTTCACTGGACAACTCTACACCACCAACTTAAAAAATAACTTCAGATGTTACAAATTAATTACTTAGTTGGACTATTGTGTGGTCTGGATTTGAAGGGGGTGGAGGATTTGGCACCCATTTCTGGCACTCTCATGGGACCTGTTGAAATTGTATACAAAAAGCTTATCTTTCTCCAGGAGCTGGAAAAGCACTTTAAACTTTGGCATTAGCTAAGAATTTTTCTGTCATCTTTTCTATAAGTTTTGTTGTTTATTTTCAAGTTTCTATATGAGCATAGTAGCATCATTAATTTTTTAATGTATCTTTTCAGCTATGAATATTAATATCGGTGTGAGGACAGCAGCAGCTCTTCTAGACCAGTTTTATGAAAAACGAAGGTTGCTTATTATATCCACTCCTGCTGCATCCAATTACTTTTACAGAATGCAGCTGGGAATATTGCAGGTAAGAAAAAGTTTATTCGTAAGTGGAATTTAATTCTACTCCCAAATTAATATAGATGGACAATGTCTTTAATATTGTTTGCTCCTTCATTTAATACACATTATGATAATCTGGACCTACATACACACAAAGGGCTGACTAAATGAAATAAGTTCCAGTTCTTGTTAAACAATGGAAGTGATTCTCATAATTTCCCTTTAAATCCACCCCTACTTTGCCACTACTCACTCTATTCAAGAAAGTCTTTAATCCATTCTAGATTGGATGGAACCAGGGCACAGGGGGTACAGATGAATCAACAAAATTGCTTCCTCTTCTGACCCATTGCTGCAGTAATTCAGCTTAGGGTATAATGGTCTTCATAAGATTTGGAGTTATGCTTATTTTTTCCTCTTCAAAATGAGTCCAAAAATTTTGGGCAGGCCTATAGGAACAGTCACTTTAATTCAGGGACTTTTATACCTTGACTTCTTCCATTCCACTTAAAGGCTGTTTTCCTGCTCCTTCCCCACAAATAAACAAATGGTTCATATACAGAATGAAATGGGACTCTTTGTTTTTGGATATGGGCCAAAATGGTTCCAGGAGAAAAACAATCAGAGTCTTAAAAGTGTATGTCATTGAACAGAATTTAGGTGTGAAAGTAAATTTATTTTCCATTTCATGTGTTACCACACCTTTTTTTGCCAAGCTTTCAGAAGTGAATAATTTAAGTGCTGAACTATTTCACATTAAAAATATTTAATAAAATTAGTTTCTATCTATTAATGTTGCCCTTGTCCAATTATATTTGTAGAGAGTAAGGAAGATAATTTTTAGATGGAAATTTGCAAGGACTACCAAAAGGAGTGACATATTTTTTAGTCTAAAGCAACAATATTTGGAAGTGATTGAGGCAGATGCCTCACTAACTCACTGGAGTATAAGAAGAGGGAGGGAGTACAGCACAATCAGGCTTGCAAGATTCTGTTATTATAGCCAATATCAATAAAATAGTTTTAGTCTTCCTGTGAAATTGAATTCCTGATCTGGTTTGCTTGGAGTGACTGTCAGATTGTGAGGTGACTAAGACATAAATGATTGTCTGAAGGGCCTCCTATGAATGGCACATTAGATTTGTGCAAAGGCCTTCCTGACCTCATCTACCATCTGCCACCTGCTTTTTGAGCAGAGCTGTGAATCCAGGATAATCCCAGATTGTGGTCCAGTCTTGAACAGAGACTTACAACTTCATCCAAGACCAAAGATGAAAACTCCTCAGATGCAGGAGGCTCAAATAACCATAGCCATTTGATTTTGCCAGGATTCAGCCTAAGCCTGTTCCTCCCCATCCAGACCCAAACAGCCTCAATGCGTTGGGTCAGAACATTGCAGCAATACCTGGAAGGCCCAGGGTCAAGATATCTGCTTTGGTATCATCTGCATATTGATGACACTGGACCCCAAGTGGATGAATGGCCTTCCCAGCTGTTTCATATAGAGGTTAAATAGGTAGTGTGAGAGTGTCGAGTCCTGAGGTACTTTACAAGTGAGGGGAAATAAACCAACCACAGAGGGAGGAGAACCATTGCAACAGTCCCTTCCAAATCTTTGCAGCAATCCAGAAGGATACCATGGTTAAAGGTATCAAAAAATCACTAGGATTTCAAGGACTACAAAGATGGCTGCACCATCCCCACCTCAGCTCAGGCACCAGAGAATTAAGGAAGTATCATTGCCATCTCTTGATTGATCATATAAAATTTTGTAAGCCAAATACAATAGCCTCACATTAATGATTGTCACAAACTCATTGTATGGATGCTTTTTATAATTAACCCAATTGATTATCTTCCTACTTTACACAGCCAGCTCAATGTGGTTTAGATTTGCGGCATGTTACAGTGATTGAGTTAGTTGGGATTTATCCAGCACAACTGGGAAGAATAGGATTAAGACTGATGCCTGCTGCCTTGGCTGTACAACTCAGGTAAATTAACACAGACTCTAAATTTTCTCTGGCTGTTTCCCTTTAATGTTTCAATTATATTTTTAGAGCAGGACTTTATAGAATGAGATTTTTTTTATACACGAGGATTCCTAAATAAAACACCTTGTTTAAATATTTTACCCAAATTTGACAAATAAAATTTAATGATCCCCACGTTATAGTAAAATTAACATGTTCTTTAAAATATATTCTTTGCTTCATTAATTTGTGATAAATTGTTATATTCTATTCACTGCACAGAGACTGTGATTGCCTGCTGAACTGTGCATGAGCATATGTCTCTCTTTCCTGTGTTGCCAAGCGGCTGTGGGAAATACTGATGGTCTAAGTTTAGGGTACTTTTCAATATTTAGTGCTATAAATTGTTCATCTGATTGAATTTTAGTTAAATGTCATATTTCAAGGTCATAATGTGAAAACTATGGATTGGTCCTAATGAAAAGCAAACAGCTTCCTTAAACTGTAAAACACCAACAACTTTTCCTACTTTGTAGTACAGAGTTATATTTCAGCGTAAGGGCAACACAGATTTGTTTTAAAAATGTTCTCTGACCTTTAGTTACACGAGTATACAGCTATCCTGGCAATGTATACCAGTTGAGAGTACCAGAGGCATGGAGTGTCTGTGCAATGAAATGTTTTCTAAAGCAAGAATAAAATGAGCATGCTTACTGTCTAAAAATAAGATGGAACTTTGCTATATTCCTTGGAATTTTGAACGTTCTAGATATGCAAGGTATTTATTGCAGTACTAAGTACTTTAAATTTATTTCTCTGTTGGAGGTTTTGGCCACAGCAAGAAAATACAGATGGTCAGAAATGCACTGTGAGAACTGGATTACCTTTGTTTGATATTTAACAATTATATCTGGAAAGAGGATTATTTTCCTTTTCAGATGTTGACTAAATATTGTATTCTCTAATCAAAAGGGAATATTACTGCACATAGGAATGAAGATCAATTTCACCCATATATTGACTGGAGAAGCAGCTACAGGAAACTTGTTTAATAATGGTCAGCTCGGTTGATGATTGGTTTGGGTAGAAGAGAAGAATATTGGGGTCTCCTGCATCAGCGAGAAACCAAGGGCAACTAAGGGAATTGCAGAAGGAAGGAGGTGCATATGAAGGACTGTTCTTTTTTCCTGTCCTACCCTTTTCTTTGCCTGTCTTACATGTTTAGTTTGTAAGTTGCAGACATGGACTGATGCATGCTGCTTTGGGATACTTTTGTCTAGAAACAGATGTTCTTGAGAGGTCTTTGAATGGCCATGAACATGGGCAGGAGCAGTGATCAGGAGTGCAAGGTAACTGCTTAGTGAAAGACAAAGGAAGTTGTTAACAAACTTGTCTCTTTTCATACCCTCAGGTTGTTACTTCGTATCCCTCACTATAACTATTATATGGTAGTAGTTGATAAACATGGTGTGGACAAAGAACGATATCCTTTTCCAGCAACCCCTGCTGAACTCTTTGCGCTCATTGACACTTTCCCTTTGAGAAAAGAAGAGATGAAATTGCAAGCTGAAATTGGCCGGTCTTGTCCCTGATTTCAGACTATAGACGTTCAGATGCCAGTATTTTCACTGCCTAAATTTTTCTGGTGCTACACAAAGCGTGAGATTATGAAAGTCATTGCTGTACAGAACCCTTTTTCTTGTATGTATGTGTTTAGGCTATGGATGTTGCAAAACTTCTCATTTAACCTATAAATGATGCCTCTTTATCTTGTCAAAGATGTGAAAGGATATTGTTGTAAGGATATTGAATTGCTTTGGTTGACCCTCCCATGTAAATGTTTTCTTTCACAGATCTTTTATTAATAAAACTTTTTTGCATTTTACAGGTTTAGTATTTATATTAACACTATGTTACAAGGCTGTTTTTTTTTTTTCATTCAGCAAAAAGGCTCCAGACTACTGTAAGTTTAAAGGAGTCTCACTGATTTCAGTCAGACCAAACATGACTGAATAGGGATTCATCACTGTTGTCTTCTGGTTGTATGGTCTCATTGAGATACAGGCAGTCCTCAACTTACAGCCATTCATTCAAAATTACAATGGTACTGAACAAAGAGACTTTCTACTTGTCCTAAACTTACAGCTGTTTCAGTGCACCCACGGTCACACCGGGTCTTCTTACCAAGACTGACTTGCACTGTTCCCCAAGCTTTGCACGATTTGGAGAATTCCAAAGCTGCCAGAGTCACCTCGTAGCTGGATAGGCGGCAAACAAATTTAATAAATAAACAAAGCATCACAAGAGCAGGCTCCATTCTCATGATTGTTTGGAAGCCTCATTCTTCCAAGTGTGGAATTTGGAGAAGGAGGTTTCCAAAGGATCACGAGAATGGAGTCTGCTTGGAGAATGGTGCAAGGCGGCCTTGGCAAGCAGGCCTAGTGTGGCCAGCAGCTACCTTGCATATGGAAGCAGCTGGAGAAAAATGGTGAAGTGGGGTTCAGCAGATCCTGTGCAGCTGAGGCTTGGCAGAATGGTGCTGGCCTGTCAGGATGCAGTGTGGGGCTTGTGGGGCTTGAGGCAGCATAGATCAGGGTTGGAGAGAGAGGCAAATGGGAAGAATTGTGATGTCCCTTCAGTCGTAGGCACTATTGGCCAGGTCAGTGGCTGAGACATCCTGGGCTGTGGCAGCTCTACATGCATTGGTGGGCTGAATGGACACACACACACACATACACATATACACACACACACACACACACACACACACACACACACGCCTCCCAGGATCTTCCCCAAAGCCCTGAGGCACCACTGCACTTCTTAGCTGGAAGTCTATTTAACAATCCATGAATTATTTAACTCCTACAACTGGGAGTGCTGGGACTGCAGTCATTGAGCGAAGCCATCACATGATGTCTCACTTAATGACCGCTTTGTTCAACAACTGACATTCTGGTTCCAATAGCGGTCATAAGTCGAAGAGTACCTGTTCATCATAAACAGCACAGGTTTTAGTGTGATAATTCAAATAAAGTTGGAGCTTTAATATAAAGGATAGGTTTTTGTCTAAAACCTGTGGCAAGTCATTGGAAAATTATATTACAGCATATACTTGCAAATCAGTTTTCAGTAATAAAGAATAGACCTAAAATTCTAATATTCTAATCTGGATGAAGTAATTAAATCTATAGAATATTTAAAGATGATATGGCTAAGAATATTAGATACTTTTAGGCCTACTTATATGATTCCAGGAAAAAGTCATTCTTTGTAAGACATGAGATGCTTGGCTAAATACTCTATAATTAGGGTTATTATGAGTAATGATCCTTATAGACAAGGCAGAGTGGATTTACTCCTAAACACAATACCCTTTTGTGGTATACATATGATGTGCTTTTTTAGTTTTGGTTATTCAGATGTGTTTTAGCTATCAGATTTTTTTCAGTTAAAGTATCTTGACCATGAATTAAAATATACATGATGAATTTTTAACTGCACATAAAACAAGACTTTACTATAGCTACACATAACAACAACCCAACTTTCCATAATTCATGTATCTCAGTGTATAAATAAAAGAAGTGCAATATAAAACAAACATGTTTAGTGTGTGTTTCAAAATTATTATTTAGTCATTTATCATAAGATTTCTTCAAAACTGGAAAACATCAAGCAATTTATCTTAATATGGAACCTATGACTATTGCTTTATAAAAAGAAAAATAATATTGTGAAAATATATTTACTATCCCGTATCTTAAACTTTAATGAGATTCAGGAGCTTATATATAATGGCAGACAATAAATGAAGTTTATATTAAGAAAACATTCAGTCTGTTTTGATATTTATTTGCGGATGTAGTAAGTGCTGAAAACTCACTTTCACAAAAGTATGTTAATGCAATCAGTAATAAGATTCTTAATTTTGATTTAAAGCTTATTATCTGAGAAGTCCATCTAAAAGTCTTCAGCTTCACTGAATACATTCAAGCTATTCAGAGAACATTGGTGTTTCATGAAACATAATTTAAAGATTATTTATATACACTGTTCATACCCAACATAAATATTTCCAAATGATGCAATTATAATAGAAATGAATAATATAAAAAAAACATCTGACTGCTTTAACGCAATTTTTTCGTAAAAAACAAAACAAAAGCTTTTTTTTACATCACCAATACCATTTGATGAATACTAACAGAATCAAATTCTGCAGGATAATAGGTAAAACAAGCAGTATATGTAATTTATTGCCACAGTTGAATTATACTAATGAATTTGTTTAAGAATTATGTATGAAAAATAAACAGTCCCTGATTTATTTAGAAGCTATATTATTACAGGATACATGGCAATTATTCCATATTCTTCAAGATAGCTAGTCCAAAGACAGTAAGCCAGTAGGCAGTTGGTTCAAGTTAAACAGTGTCTTATAGCAAAATGCAGGGCTGGCTCTGGAGATTCTGCATTTGAGAGATGGAAGAAGGTTCCATCACTTTCCCCATGTACTCTCTCTTGCACTTCTGTTGTCTTGGTCTCACCATTGCCCCTCCCAAGGCAAACAAACTTGGAATATCTGTACACTGTGCACTTTAAGTAGAATGAAACAGTTGCTCCAGACCACAAACTGGGAAGTCAGAAGGCAGAAAATGAGGATTTCTATTCAGTATGCCCCACATTCTGGTCTATTCTTTGAAACTACTATCCTTAGTCAGGTAAAATGACTAACATTCCATCTATGTATATTATGTGTGGTTTAGAAGATCTACCGCTGTTAAATCCTCAACTTTCATTTCATTTGTTTTAAAATGGATGTACATATCAGAAAGAGCAGAGTACATGTAAGTTGGTTGCAGAGTAAATGATCATAGCCTTCATTTAAATTTTTTGCTCAGCCTTTCTGTGTACCACTATGCAGAAGTAGACTTGCTTTAAAGTTCATTTAAAGTGTGCTGTAGCTGCTGAAAAAGCTAGTGCAGTTCTAGGCTGCATTAACAGATTAGAATCAAGATCACATGAAGTGTTAATACCACTTTATAATGCCTTGGTAAGACCATACTCCAGTTTTGGTTGCCACAGTATAAAAAAGATGTTGAGATTCTAGAAAGACTGCAAAGAAGAACAATAAAGATGATCAAGGTACTAGAGGTTGCAGGAATTGGGTATGTCTAATTTATGGATTACTGCCTTGTCGTGGCGAAGGGGCTTGCGTAACTCAATGAAGCTATAAGCTATGCCGTGCAGGGCCACCCAAGACGGACAGGTTATAGCAGAGAGTTCTGACAAAATGTGATCCACTGGAGAAGGAAATGGCAAACCACTCCAGTATCTTTGCCATGAAAACCCCATGGACAGTACTAAAAGGAAAAAAGATATGACGCTGGAAGATGAGCCCCTCAGGTCGGAAGGTGTCCAATATGCTACTGGGGAAGAGCAGAAGGCTAGTACTAGTAGCGCCAGAAAGAATGAAGCGATTGGGCCAAAGCCGAAAGGACGCTCAGCTGTGGATATATCTGGTGGTGAAAGGAAAGTCCGATGCTGTAAAGATTTTTTCTCCATAGGAACCTGGAATGTAAGATCCATGAATCAAGGCAAGCTAGACGTAGTCAAAAAAGAGATGACAAGACTGAACATCGACATCTTAGGAATCAGCGAACTAAAATGGACAGGAATGGGGGAATTTAACTCAGATGACCATCAGGTATACTACTGTGGGCAAGAATCCCTCAGAAGAAATGGAGTAGCCTTCATAGTCAATAAAAGAATAGGAAAAGCAATACTGGGATACAATCCCCAAAATGACAGAATGATCTCAATTCGAATCCAAGGCAAACCATTCAATATCACAGTAGTCCAAATCTATGCCCCAACCACTGGTGCTGAAGAGGATGAAATTGACCGGTTCTATGAAGCCCTACAGCACCTTATAGAATTAACACCAAAAAATGATGTCCTTATCATCATGGGGGATTGGAATGCTAAGGTAGGAAGCCAAAAGATAACCGGAATAACAGGCAAGTTTGGCCTTGGAGACAAAATGAAGCAGGGCACAGGCTAATAGAATTTTGTCAAGAGAATACGATGGTCATAACAAACACTCTTTTCCAACAACCCAAGAGACGGCTCTACACATGGACATCACCAGACGGTCAACATAGAAATCAGATTGACTATGTACTCTGCAGCCAAAGATGGAGAAGCTCTATACAGTCAGTAAAAACAAGACCAGGAGCTGACTGTGGCTCAGATCATGAGCTTCTCGTTGCAAAATTTAGGCTTAAATTGAAAAAAGTAGGGAAAAGCACTAGGCCACTCAGGTATGAACTAAATCATATTCCTGATGAATATACAGTAGAGGTGACAAATAGATTTAAGGAATTAGATCTGATAGACAGAGTGCCTGAAGAACTATGGATGGAAGTTCGCAACATTGTACAAGAGGTAGCAACTAAAACCATCCCAAAGAAAAAGAAATGCAAGAAAGCAAAATGGCTGTCTCAGGAAGCTTTGCAAATAGCTGAGGAAAGAAGGGAAGCGAAAGGCAAAGGAGAAAGAGAAAGATACACCCAATTGAATGCAGAATTCCAGAGAGTAGCTAGAAGAGATAAGAATGCCTTCTTAAATGAACAGTGCAAAGAAATAGAAGAAAACAACAGAACAGGGAGGACCAGAGATCTCTTCAAGAAAATTGGAGATATGAAGGGAACGTTTCATGCAAAGATGGGCATGATAAAGGACCAAAATGGCAGAGACCTAACAGGGGCAGAAGAGATTAAGAAGAGATGGCAAAACTACACAGAAGAACTATACAAGAATGAGCTTAACATCCCAGATAACCACAATGAGATGGTCACTGACCTCGAACCAGACATCCTAGAATGTGAAGTGAAATGGGCCTTAGAAAATCTGAGCAACAACAAAGCTAGTGGAGGTGACAGTATTTCCAGCTGAGCTATTCAAAATCTTAAAAGACAATGCAGTAAAAGTGCTACATTCAATTTGCCAGCAAATTCGGAAAACTCAACAGTGGCCACAGGATTGGAAAAGGTCAGTTTACATTCCAATTCCAAAGAAAGGCAATGCCAAAGAATGTTCAAACTATCGCACCATTGCACTCATTTCACATGCTAGTAAAGTTATGCTTAAAATCCTACAAGCTAGACTCCAGCAGTATGTGGATCGAGAACTACCAGAAGTACAGGCAGGATTTCGAAGAGGCAGAGGAACTAGAGATCAAATTGCCAACATACGCTGGATCATGGAGAAAGCTAGGGAGTTCCAGAAAAACATCTACTTCTGCTTCATTGACTATGCAAAAGCCTTTGATTGTGTGGATCACAACAAATTGTGGCAAGTTCTTAAAGAGATGGGAGTACCAGACCATCTCATTTGTCTCTTGAGAAACTTATATGCGGGTCAAGAAGCAACAGTGAGAACTGGACACGGAACCATGATTGGTTCAAAATTGGAAAAGGAGTCCGGCAAGGCTGTATACTGTCGCCCTGCCTATTTAACTTATATGCAGAGCACATCATGAGAAAGGCAGGGCTAGATGAATCAAAAGTTGGAATTAAGATTGCCGGGAGAAATATCAACAACCTAAGATATGCAGATGATACCACTCTAATGGCAGAAAGTGAAGAGGAACTAAAGAGCCTCTTGATGCGGGGGAAGAAGGAGAGTGCAAAAGTTGGCTTGAAACTCAACATTAAGAAAACCAAAATCATGGCATCCGGCCCTCTCAATTCCTGGCAAATAGATGGGAAAGAAATGGAGGTAGTGACAGATTTTATTTTTCTGGGCTCCAAGATCACCTCAGATGGAGACTGCAGCCAAGAAATTAAAAGACGCTTGCTCCGGGGGAGGAAAGCTATGGCAAATCTAGACAGCATTCTAAAAAGCAGAGACATCACCCTGCCAACAAAAGTGCGCATAGTCCAGGCCATGATTTTCCCAGTTGCAATGTATGGCTGTGAAAGTTGGACCATAAGAAAGGCTGAGCGCAAAAGAATTGAGGCCTTTGAACTGTGGTGCTGGAGACGACTCCTGCGAGTCCCTTGGACTGCAAGGCGTTCAAACCGGTCGGTCCTAGAAGAGATCAACCCCGACTGCTCTTTAGAAGGCCAGATCCTGAACTTGAAACTCAAGTACTTTGGCCACCTAATGAGAAGGAAGGACTCACTGGAGAAGAGCCTAATGCTGGGAAAGATTGAGGGCAATAGAAGAAGGGGACGACAGAGAATGAGATGGCTGGATGGAGTCACTGAAGCAATAGGTGTGAACTTAAATGGACTCCAGAAGATGGTAGAGGACAGGAAGACCTGGAGGAATGTTGTCCATGGGGTCGCGATGGGTCGGACACGACTTCGCAATTAACAACAACAACAATTTAATGAAAAGAAGGACTAAAGGCGCCTTCATAGCAGTGTTCCAACATCTGAGGGGCTGCCACAAGAAGAGGGAGTCAAGCTAGTCTCCAAAGCACCTGAAGGCAGGACAAGAAGCAACGGATGGAAACTAATCAAGGAGGGATCAATCTAGAATTAAGGAAAAATTTCCTGACAGAACAATCAGTGGAACAACCTGCCTCCAGAAGCGGTGAATGCTCCAACACTGGAAGCTTTTAAGAAGAGACTGGACAGCCATTTGTCTGAAATGGTATAGGGCAGGGGTGTCAAACTTGCAACATCACGTGATGTGTCGTGATGTATCGTGACTTTTTTGCCATTGCCAGCAATGGGGTGGGCATGGTTTTGCTATGATGCATCCGGCCCACGGGCTGGCAGTTTGACATCCTTGGAATAGGGTTTCCTGCCTGAGCAGGGGGTTGGACTAGACAACCTCCAAGGTCCCTTCCAACTTTATTATTCTGTTAAAGAGTTTATAATTTTAGAAATATTACCTGGTTTTAACATTTTAAAAACAAAATATACACTCAATCTATAAACAGGAGGAAATGACATAGTGGCAGAAAATATCAGTAAAATGGTTGACTGCATGTGTAACAATATGCAGAGAAAAAACAAGAAAAGAAATGTCTTAAAAGCTACCAGCTTTATTCAACAATAGCTGGTAGCTAATATGAATTAAACAATTCTAGCAAAGGTGACTAATTAAACTAGTCTTTCTTAGCCTTCTCACCTTCATATGTTGAAAATAATAGTACTTTTTAATCTTACTTTGAATTAAAATACAAATAGCAATCTGAAGACTATATAAAATGGAAACAGGCAAACAAATCAGAATAATTTGAAAAAAAGAAGTAAAAATCATTCATTGTTTCACATATTTGTTTAAAATACAACAACATTTGTGAAATAAAATCATTTTTTCACTCTGTAGGTTGGTGCTAATATAAATCTACGCTCACTCAGCCCAGCTTTTTGGGAGAAAGTTGGTGTTTCACAGTATTTTCATAAAACATCAAAACATTTCATGGAAAAAAACAATAAATTTCAAATATATACTAATGCAGTTCCATGCTAAAAAAATATGACTCAGAAGTCATTTTTATAGATTTACAGTTTTAGATTACTGAAATATGAGTTGAATCTAAATTATAATTTAATCAAGCCAGATTTATAAATAATATTAAGCCAAAAACAAATCAGTTTATTGGCAATTTATATGTTAACCACATATTTTTCTCCCTAGCTTTTTTTTTTTTTTTTTTTTTTGATCAACCAAGTGTTTATCAGGTGATTGGGTCAGGCATTGACTAACTGGCCTGTTGCCCAAACATGACATCATGGACAATGCAGTGGTGGCAAACCTATGGCACGAATGCCAGAGGCGGCACTTAGAGTCCTCTCTGTGGGCATGTGTGCCATCGCCCCAGTCCTAGGCCTTCAGCTGGGTTTTATAAAACCTTTTCACTTTAGGCCTCCGCCGCCATGTACAAAAAAAAAGGTTCAATCAATCAGTCAATTTCAACTTCTCGCAGGGAAAAAAAAATCTTGCAAAGTTGGAATTGATTGATTGAATTTTTTAGTCCCACCCAGTTTGCTGTTACCACCACAGCCATGCCCAGCCAATGGGCCACACCCAGCCAATGGGCCACACCCACCCGGCACCCAACGATACATAAGATGGTTTTGGGTTGCAGTTTGGGCACTCGGTCTCTAAAAGGTTTGCCATCACTGGACTATGAGAAAGTAATTGACCTAAAATCATCCCGCTGGCTTTCATGCCTAAGATAGAACTAGAACTCACCGTCTCCTGGTTTCTAACTTGGTGCCTTATCCAGCAGACCAAATTGGCTCTCACTGTGTTAACCATACATAATCTATTATGTGTGGCTTTAAGATAGTTTTTAAGATCCATTGGTTTCCCTATGAATTATAGTACAATATAGTATAATCTGTATGCTATGGTGTGATATGGCATGGTATAATTCATTCTTGATGCCATCCATTTAGCCAGGAAAAGTTTAAATATATAGTCTTTCCAATATCTGTTTATTTCAAAAACATTAGTATACATAATCTTGTATCACTGACTTAACTTTTAAAATTCTTACAAGCGGGTGTGTGTGTGTGTGTGTGTATGAGTCCCTTTGCAAAAAGAACCAAACAGGATCATGAAACCTGGTTGATTGCTTACTTTTCTGTAGAACTAAGACAGTAACAGTACAATGAGGTGCCACCTGAATAATTTAGGTAGCACACTTTTTCAAGATAATCATTATAGTAGTGACAAAGGTTTTTTGTACAAGTGCACAATAATAAAAAAAATCCCAAATAGAATCAATATCTATCTATACAAGAAGATTCCCTACCTGGAGAGACAATGTCTCTATAACTCTGGACACACACAAGCAACAAAGCATTTGTGTCTTTAATGCCTGTACCCACTGCAGAAATATTTGTACTAGCCTTATCTCACCATTACTGAATAAATACCCAGGGCACATAAGTCGAGTCTACACTCCCTGCTTCTTTCAGATACCAATTATACAAGGTTGCTATGACCTGTACTACAAACTAGACTTAATGATAGATTTATGACATACTGAAATGCTCTGTCACTTCATACAGTCTTCCATATACTAACTTTTATGTTCCCCTATACCCCTATAATGCTTTACCTCTTTTATATTCTTGTTTTTATATACACTTTGTTTTAACGTATTTTTATATCTTCTAGCTTTTCATCATTACTAGACTCTGATGTAATTTTTGTGCTTTTTAATTGACTACCCCAATCCTCCTTATGCTGGTTTATGATCACAATAAAGATTTAATTTAATTTAAATTTTAATTTGTAACTGGAGTCAAAGCTATATTTGAAAACCTACTCATATCTCTGCCTGACGTAGATCTTCATAGCAATGTAAAGGTGAAAAAGGTCAAGGTTTCCGTGTCCAGCATGTCCAACTCTAGGGGGCGGAGCTCATCTCCTTTTCTTGGCCAAGGGAGCCAGCATTGTTCAAAGACATTTTCTGTGGTCATGTGGCCAGCATGGCTGTATGCCAAAGGCACATGGATTGCTGTTACCTTCCCACCGAAGAGGTATCTATTAATCTACTCCAGGGGTTCTCAACCTTGGCAACTTTAAGACTTGTGGTCTTCAACTTCCAGAATTCCTCAGCCAGCTTTGCTGGCTGAGGAATTCTGGGAGTTGAAGTCCACAAGTCTTAAAGTTGCCAAGGTGAGAACCCCTGATCTACTCAGATGTGCATGCTTTCAGACTGCTAGGTGGGCAGGAACTGCTGAGCCATCATACTTCTCATAGCAATGTACTCTTCATGAAAATAAAAAAAAAGGCTAAAGGATCTAGGTCTGTGCTACTAAAGGAACAGATAGGGTATTATGAATAGTAATATTAACATTGACAAGTGCTTAAAACAGGTTTTGGCTATATACTCCATTCATAATTTCTGACAGGGAGGTAGTTTTACACTGAAAGATTAGAAGTGATCCTAACTGAATTACAGTGCAATTAGCTAGTGAGTTGTAGAAACTCCCTCTTAGAGACTCGTAAAGAAAGCTAGGATGTCACTACTAATACCTGTTTTAGAACCGAAGTCAGATTCTGTGCTTGCTATTTTGCAGTCTTTCCCATAATGTTGTATAATCTTGGTCAAAACAAAACAAAAACATTGAAGAATCTGTACAGTAGAATATCAAATATGACATCACCTATTCCTTTTGAGTGGCTATTTAATACTTTTATACCTTCACTTTTGTAGAAAGTGCTGAAATGCAAAAGGCGCAACTCCATAGAGATTATTATTAGCAATACTAGCAATACAATACCTCTAACCCATACCATTCTGTTTATAAGCAGGTAACTTGAGACTCTCTAACTCTTTATTATAAAATCTATTGGGAACCATTTGTGGATAGCAGCCTGAGAAAAGTAGGAATATAATTACTCCTAGAGCGTACCTGGCACTCACTTCCCAAACTCATTAGGCTTATTTGAAATGGGATTATAATGAACTAGCCTCAATGACTTTTCATTAATTTATCAATCACTGATATATCTTTTCTGAGAAAACATATTGAAATAATAAAGGAAATGTCTGAGACATATTCTGTAGAGGGTATTATATGACCTCATTCTAACAACTCAGCAAATCTTGTTTTGGAGATGACTTTACTGATTTAGCCTCGGTAAATTAATACAAGAGCTACAGTATGGATTTAGGAAAGTGCCGAATGCATTCATAATCCATTTCAGAAAATTTAAATTCAGAATAAAAGTAAACTTCCTTATGTTTATATGTGCAAATCATGACAGGAGACCAGTCTCCATTACATCTTATTACAATTTAAAATCACACTACTGTAATGTCAGTGTTATGCAAACCATACTCCTCAGAGTCTGCGTTTCCCCATGCTGGATCTCAGCATTAATACACCTTCTACAGAATCTCCAGGACAATCAATCATTCTCTGCCAAAGAAGTCGCTCTTCTCCTTGAGAATCCATCCAGTCAACTTCTTTGCCATTGCTTATACCTGGAAAATTGCAAAGCACAGTGGTCAGCTGATTTTTTTTTTCAATCAGAAAAATCATTCCACCGTTCATTCTATTCAATATTTCATAAAAGTCCATTTCACAACATCTGCCAAGTTTCTGTTAGAGGTTCATAACACATGGTACTCCAGATTCACAAGAACTATAGCAACTCTTATCAAACTGTCATCTGTAGCTCTGATTTCCACCATTGGTACAGTGTAAACGTTTGTTTCATTTAAAATGAGCAATGTTTATATTTAGACTGGGATGTTGTGTTTAGCTCTAATCACAGCAACCACATATGAAAGATTTAATATCTTAATAATATCTACGTTACAAACTGGAAGCTGTTGCCCTTAAAAAAATAATTCCTAGGCTGAATTCTTACAAGCATAGTAGTATGGAGAATGAAATACTTTGAAAAATAAATCTAAAAACTCCCATTTGACTCTGGCCATCTTATTTTTGTATTAATTATAGGACAAGATCTTAGCTGTCCCTTTTATTGGGAATTCTAATCAGATTTACTTGCTTCTTTTATTAATTTTATTTTTACTATTTATTCTTTTTAGCTTTACCTTTTAGGAAAATATCAGAATGGGTTATCATAAATACTTTTAAACGAAAGAAAGACAACATTTTCTGGATCAGCCATCCATAAATTGGCAAACAGCCTGAGGGCAATGATAAAGACTAATTTACCTACCTGTTTTTCATATCATTTAAGAAACCATATTGATATATTTATTATTAGATTTCTATCCTGTCTTTCATTCAGAAGCTCGAGGCAGCATATATAGGAAGCTTTTACCCTATTTTCCTCCACAGCAGAGCTCGGCTGAGAGTAACTGAGTGGTCCAAAGTCAACCTCCACAACCAAGCAAGGGTCTAAAAGCTGAGTCTTCTCCCTCCCAATCCAGCACCTTATGCAAGGATGGGTGCGTTTACATTCCCAGAAGCTCTGCATTTCCATTTCCCACATTTTTACAATATCTTTTCTGGAAGATATGGCAAGTTTTCCCCATGAGCTGCCAGAAAAAGAGCTAAATGGGTCTCTCAAGGGCTGCTGCCCATATCTAAATACAAAGAGTATTCTAGATATTTCATTTGCTGGTCTCCCTTTCAATTCCCTTCTATCAAAGGGTAGATCTATCCACACCTACCACTTCCAATACTCAAGCGAACACCTCCCAGGAAAATATTGCTGGCGAGAGACTCCTTGTCCCAAACAGTAAGTTCTACACAGACATTGTGTATATCTCTAGGGTTCAAGCCACTAAAAGTGAATGTATGATTCCAATGGGGATTCACACTCTTTTTTATTACATGGGTTTTATGCTTTGAAGATTTGTTGTTGTCAGGAAGCAAATATCTAAGAGACAAAAGGAAGGGGGGGGGGAAATAAGAAAAAGAATATGGAGGTTTGTTACGAATATATAATTATAATTGAGAAGATGCTGATTGAACTATCTTAACCCAACCCATTTTTAAAATGTGGCCATTGGCACATCACTCAACAGCTATGTGTGATCCATAGCCCTTCCCTCAAAGGAAAAAAAAAACTATAAAAACATTTGTCATAAGAGTTGGCCACTGCAACATTCATTGAGCCCTTTTTTCTAGAAGGAAAGATTATTTGGAATATTTTTACTTTCTTAAAATGAAACTCTGACATGGAGCGATACTGAGATTTGCAAATAATACATGGTCATATAAGCTTATTTTGAGATTGTGATATTAGCATGTAGTAGGAGATGAATTATGAATTAGATCTGGATAGCAAATGCAAGATTACATCAGCTAACTGAGATTAAGAGATACAATACAATCCTGATATATGAACCTGTTGCCTACTATTATTTTTCCGTTTAAAATATTCAAAATAAGGTGGAAGGAAGTAAAGATTCAAAAATTCTAAATCTTGCCACTTGATGTGTATGGGACATTTTTGAGGAAATGAATAGATGATCATATAAGTGATCACCAGGGCAACTGGGATCAAGAATTTCATCGCTAAGCAATGTGATCGTGAAGGGTGACATCACACATTACTGGCTCACTTAGCAACCGCAATTCTTGCAATCTCACTTGCTGTCACTGAACAGCAATCTTGTTAAGCAAGGCGCTCATATGATTCCCTGCCAGCTTTCCCATTATCTTGGCTGGTGGGAACATCAGAAATCAGTCACGTGTCTTCAAAGATGCTGTGACAGCCAGAACTCTTGAGGACCTACTATAAATCCCTCCTTATTTAGTATCATAATTTTGAACAGTCACTGAACCAATGGTCATAATGCAAGGACTACCTGTATTCAATACAGAAATACTAAACGTCTACTAGCATACATAACCAGAGACAGAATAGGGGAAATCACCCTTTCACAAACGTATCTGAAGTGCCTCCTGATTTCACCGCCATTAAATTCTTGGCTTCCTTGATGACAATTTCCAATATGCCTCCTGATGGTATTTGGGAGGTTGCCTTTTTTTCTTTCTTTGAACTCTTCTTTCCTTTAGAATAAGGAAACAAGAATGGAGGAATATATGAAGCTTTCATATTTTGCATTGTAGCCTATCCTAAGGTTAATAATGAATATACATCAAACCATGCCTCTTAACCAAGCCACAAATGTCTCTGTCCTATAGAAGAGTATCTTGAATGGATTTATGCTCCAGATGCAACTTCAACATATATTTATGGCCCAAGACCAATCACAATAAAAAACATCATATAATCTAATAACTATAAAAGGAAATTTTAAAATTGCAAATAAATCATAAAACAATTAGCAACAGTTAATAGCATGAAGGAGGAATAGCATGAAACCGTTTCTAACAGCTATGGCTATTGATGAAATTTTCAACCTTCGTAGAGGTTTTTGAAAAATGGTTACCTAGGAGAAGGATAATAGCCTCCTGATCACAATGGCAATTAGAGTTATTAATAGTTGAACCTATTAAACTTGAGACATACTGTAAGTGATGAGGAAAACGATGCTTTTCTGTTTTTACAACATTATGTTCATCATATTTTAACTCTGGATGGGTGTCATAAAAAATAATAAAAAGCAAAAAAGGTCCACAATAAATCTTAGCTCATAGAGTAATTATTTAAAAATTGATCAGCACACCCCAAACTCTCTAACTTATCCAAACTTCATTTTTTCTCTTTCCATTCAACCATGTCTGATTCTCAGGAACTGCCTGGACAGTTTTCTTGGCAAGGTTTTTCAGAAGTCATTTATATTGATTGATTGATTTATATTGGGCAATCTCTAAATTTATATATATTTATAAATTTATACATATAAATTTAGAGATTGCCCAATTCACTCACAGAGCGACTCTGGGCGGAGTACAACTAAAAATATGAAAATCTATGTTTATGGTTTGCCACTGCCCCCTTCCTAGGATTGAGAGAAAGTGACCCAGTGAGCTTTGAGCCTGAAGCAGAACTCATGATATCCCAGTTTCTAGCGTAATGCTTTAACCACTACACCAAACTGCCTCTCAAACACCAATTACTCATCATTAAAAATAGTTTTCTGGTGGACAGGAGTCCTGAAAAGTAGATTGCCTTTGAATTTCAGATACCTTCTCCCTGTTTCTCTAGCCTCTGCTGAATTTGGGTGGGCACAGCTGACCGATTATCAGTTGTTCTCAGGATTCAGACAATCACACCAACCTTGGTCACCCCAAGATATACAGACACAAGGGAATTTTGAGTAGAAATAATTTGCAGCTTTTGCAGCATTTTTCATACAATGAAAATGTCAAGTCTTGTTACTCAACAAGATGACATTATAAGAAAATGCTGTTGAATAGGGAGCTAATGAATTTACAGCTAACAAAACCTGCCCTTGCTTCCAAAAGATATAGTGTTGGGGATGAATAATATAGGAAGATGAAATGATTTGTGGTTTCAAATTCTTTTAGAAAGTAGTAAACCAACTGAACAGCAACAATTTCAATGTTTTGTAGTGCTGGGTTTTTGTTCCTAATGTCTGCAGAAGACCATGAATTAAAACAATTCAAGGAAAACATTTCTGGATGCATCAAAGGTTTTTTTTTTTTCTTTTACCTTGAATCTCTCCTAGGGGAAGCGTTAGGTTCCTCTCAGGTGGAGTGTACCGTAAAGCAACAATTAATTCTCCTTTGTACTGCAGCCCAATATCAGTGGCAATTTCCATCTAAAATAAGAAAGTAAAATAGAAGAAAGTCTTGTTTAATAAATATTCGCCTTCACTTTTAGAGCATGTTGCGCATTATTTTGAGGTATACATAAAGAGTATACAGATGAAGATGAGCTTCAAATGACCAAACTTCTACTTCCTACACTCTATAACAGTGGTGGCGAACCTATGGCACGGGTGCCAGAGGCGGCATGCAGAGCCCTCTCTGTGGGCACGTGCGCTGTCCCCCTAGTCTTAGGCCTTCAACTGGGTTTTATAAAACCTTTTTGCTTTAGGCCTCCGCTGCCGTGTACAAAACAAAAAAAGGTTCAATCAATCAGTCAATTTCAACTTCTCGCAGGGAAAAAAAAAGATCTTGCAAAGTTGGAATTGATTGATTGAACTTTTTAGTCCCACCTAGTATGCCATTACCACCGCAGCCACGCTCACCCAATGGGCCAAACCCAGCCAATGGGCCACACCCACCCGGCACCCAACGATGCATAAGTGGGTTTTGGGTTGCAGTTTGGGCACTCGGTCTCTAAAAGATTCGCCATCACTGCTCTATAAGCTTCCAGCAAGGAAGTAGGAAGAAGTTTTCTTTAAAATGTCCAGTTCCTAGGTGTTTTTCTCTCTCTCTTAAGACAGCTTGAACCACTGCAAAGCTTCTTCCAAACTGCCCAACACATGCCCTCTGTTTGCCTACTAGATAGAGGACAAAAGCGACCAACTTTTCCTCTGCAATGTGGAGGGTGCTGGTGAGACAGGCTTTCTTTGTTGGTGGCCATAGGAATGCAAATTTAAGTTTAATAAAGAGCTTGGATCATTGACAAGTAAAAGTGGAGCTTTCCTGCAAATCCACTGCTAGTTCTTTAATAGGGACAGAAATGGGAACTAAGGGGTCTTGTGACATTCAGCATTGTTCTAATATTTATGTAATTGACAGTAAACCTTGTTGCTACACTTCCCACTTAACTCTAAGCTTTATGCAGACTTCAATAATATCACGATGGCTTTGCTATTCCTGTTTTTCTATCAAATTTATCACATTAACATATTTTCAAATTTCAACAAAACAAGATAAATCAGAAATAACTCAAGTGTTAGGGTGGGGAGGAAAACAAGAAAAGGAACAAAGGTGAATACATATTAGAACAATTAAATATACAATGGTATCAAGTTTTAAAAAAATGAAACTACGACCACATGGAGACACATATGTTTGGAGAAGGCCAGATATTTCAAGAAAGAGACATAACTCACTATGATATTTATCTGACTTGAGTGGCCAAAATTCTTCATGAATCCAGGTGCTAAAAAAGTGTTAGGATTATTACTTTGACAATATCAGGAGAGTGATAAATGAATTAGAGGGCTTCCCCTAAATAGTTATACTTGTCTTTACGTGTAGATGCCTTTTCCCAACAGTAACAAACAAAAATATGTGATATGGGAATAATCCATTCCTTTTTGGACTACAGAAGCACAGAAGGTAAAAAGAACAGATTTCACATATTAGATTGCAAATGAAATGATAAAACTTGCAGTTTGTTGGACAGGAACAAACTGATCTGTCCAAGCTACAGGAAAACACACTGGCATCTAGAGTTTGAGAGCCACTTGTGATACAGCCTTTGTGGGACATACAATACTTCCTCTGTAGTTTTATTGTTGTGATGGCTTTAATTTCAAAACTCAAAGAACACTATACAGTGGAATAGACCCATCTTTCAGCTAAGTTGCCTTCAACTAGTGGATAATTTGATTGCAATATAAATTTGCATGCCACTTCTCTAAACCAACAGGACCTTCTCACCTTCGGCTGAAGCATGAACCATTCATCAGCTTGATTTTCAAAGTTCCATGAGTCCAAGGGAATCTCTACTTCTCCCAGAAAGCTGTTACGCCCAAATCTGTCATAATGCCAGACAGAAAGTTGCAGAGTGCGAGTCTCAAGCTGCGTGTGGCTAATGACATACTATTGAGTGATAGAAAAGGAGCATATTTTTAAGGGAAATATTTTTAGGACCCAGTAAGTGAGAGTATAGAACTTCTAAGTATATCCAAAGGTATTAACAGATAATAAATGATGCAATATTTTCCCTTCCTACTAGTGCAATTCAAATTATGAAGGGAAATACATAAAATGTAATTATTCTCCTGAAAACCTGTGTTTACACCTGTCTTAAACTACAGTCCTTCCATCTCCTCCTGTATGCATGTTGATTCTGAAACATTATTCATAATTAAAATAGAAAGAAAATGAACTGGTGATATTAAATTCTCCAAAACTGATAAAAGTATTGTTATTAAGAAAGTTGTTCTTTAAATTCCACAACTGTTTTACATTTTTTATCATGTAATTGAAAAGCCTTTTAATTTTTTTTTTTGTTTTTTGTGGGGGGTTTTTTCCTTAGTGATTTTTGACTGTTAGTTTTCCAGCCTTTGGGAATGGGAGGCATACAAATAAGATAAGCAAATAAATAAATAGATGAGGAGTCCTTGGTGCTCTCTGAGTTCAGAGTGCACCAAGAACTCTTCATTTCAACCCTGAGCTACAAATATTCTCCTTTAAATAAATAAATGGGAAGCAGATGCCCAGGAAGTACAAGGAAGTGTCAACTTAATGTCAACATTGGGCAAAGTCCTCAAACAAATTATAAAGAACATGTCTGTGAGCACTTGAATAAGCATACTGCAATTAACAAGAGCAAACATGGTTTTGTTGCAAACAAATTGTGCCAATGAACCATATTTCCTTCTTTAACAATAGAACTACAGCTCAGTAGATTTGGAATGTTCTCAGATTCTCAGCAAAGCTTTTGACAGAGTTCCTCATGACGCATATTTTTCTTAATAGACTCATGATATATATATATTTCTTAATAAAGAAATCACCCAGTTATTTTGGAATTGGATGACACCAAAATTTAAAAATAATTAATTAATTAAAATGTGGGGTAGAAGATGCAACTGTTAAATGGCCTCAGTTGCCTGAACAATCTCATTTCATCTTGGACAGAAGAATCGAGTGGAATATCAGTGATTATTTTTGATCCTATGCAATTGAAAACATTTATCAATGGCTGAGATGATGGAACTGGCTGACACAAGGTTTTGTGGATGACACAAATATGGGAGGGTGACTTTAGATGAAACAGAAAAGTCAAAAATATCTAGACAAAGTGGACTGAAATCCCTGAGCAAATCACTTACAAGCACAACCCAAAAACTAGTTGGACATGTCCAGAGAGTCACCAGAAGCACAGCTCAACTCAAGGACATCTTTACCATGCAGGTACTGTGCAGCATATAAATAATTTAAACCAACAAACCACTCAACCAAGAATTTCTCATTTTGACCATAGAGGAAATATTAATGTATATGGTGTTGTCCCAGTTCCTATCTTACCTTAAGCATTTCATTGAATTCAGGATCAGTGCTATTACTTTTGATTTTTGTCTTCCTTTTGCTCTGGCGAGACTTGTCTGGCAGAAGATACGCTTTGACATAACTACAGATTAAATTAATAAACTATCAATTTTGCTAAAAGTTACAATATTAATATACAAACATGTAGATGTCCATATAAAGAAAATTCTTACGTATAACAATGCCAAAACTAAACCAGAGACGTCAGAATGGTTATACTTTAGCTTTATTTGCTCTCTCATGTATTGTGGTACATCAGATGTCTTTGTTTTATATAGCAAGAGATATACTGGAAATATATACAGTTTAAATAGACATATATTTGTGGGGAAATATATACATATATATATTTACATAGAGGAACAAAGAATCATATGATGGCTCCTCCTACATGCATTCTGAATACCACAACCAAGTCCGAGTGAGACTTATACTTCCTGCTCCTGATTTCCTGCCATGCAAATCAAAAAACAGATGTCATCTTCCCCAAAAGGTTATTTGTTACCTAGTTCCATATGCTATCACCAGAAATATGCAGTCAGAAATCTACTGAAACACAGAATTCCATATAAACAATGTGAAGTACAGGCAGGAGAATTATTACTCTTCAAAGTTTTGATTCACCACAAAATAAGGAACATTAGAGAAGCCCTGTCAGGTCCAGCCTATTCTTTGTCTCACAATAACCAGCTGCATGTAGCTGGGAAGTTCACAATCTCAGATTGGAGAGTGATGATCTTTTCCATTATTACTTCTCAGGGCCCATGAGAAAGATCGGGCATGCAGTTCATTTTTCAGTATGCAATAAATTACAATTGCTATGTGTAGCTTGCATGAGCCTGTTGGCTGGAACATTAGGGCTTGTGAAAGTTCCTGCCTTACTACTCAGCCTTTTATTCCTTATCCTGATTCCTTCCTACCATTTGTCCTCAGGCAGGTACAAGAGGCTTCAGTGTACCTAGGATTACTTTCAATTGTAGAAAATAAGGAAAGAAGGGAACAAGAAGAAAACAAAAGACTCCTCGTTCTCCAATTTTAGTGCACTGAAAGAAATCTCTTCTCAAAGAGCCTTCTATTTGCCACAGAATGTGGAAGAAAAGCTATAATTCTCTCATTTCCCCCACCATTTACTTTTTAGGCAGGAGAAGACAGAAAAATTCAGCTTCTTCCTTAAACTGATTATTTTTTACAGTTATAATTTTAGAGAAAAACTAAGGAACAATTGTTCCACTCTGGTTTCTGTTTACTAAGTTACTGAATTCACACTACACTTGCCAGAACAACATTGCAGAGAATTATGGTCAGTTGACAATCAGAATTTAAATTTGTATTTTCTAATTGGAAAGTCTTTAGGATAAGAAAAGAGAAGTAAGAATACCAGCACAAGCCATTTAGCAGTAAACATGGGTTTTTCATTTCACCAAAATTAAGTCTTTTCTCATAGGCAGTGTAGCACTGAAGTTATCAAACTGGAAAAATATTCATACCAGTTCACCATTTCCAGATTTATTTATTTTATTATTAAACTTCTATGCTGCCCGTTTCCCTGAGCTGATTCTAGATTTCACCAACTGAAGCAACTATATTTCTCAACCTTTGCAAGGACTAAAACTGATATGGCTCTTATTTCATTTAAAGTAAAGCTTCAATAAGAAGATAGGAGAAACTCATGCTGCCTTTCACATTTTGCAAACTCTAGCACAACGATACGTATATGATATTCTACTGTCTTAAACAGTAGATCTGTGGAAGGCAAATCTAACAAGCAAACATAACAAGGATAGTAAATAAATAGAAGTTTAGTTTAAAAAAGAGATTTGCTTACGGATCTGTTCTTTGTTTCTTTTCATCAGCAATGGCCAAGTTCTTGCATTTTTTTACAAGTATGTTAAGGGCTCCTGTTTTATAGCTATAGTTGATTTGCAGACAAATTTCACCACTAATATTCACGTTGCCATAGTCCCCAGTTTCACTGTAAACACTCATCATACTGTTAATGCTGGTCTGAAAAAGAGACAGTGACAGGAAGCCTATATCAAACTGAGTTATATTCATATACTATTGTTAAACTAATCAGTCATTTCTATTAGGGAAACATCTCACTAAAGAGAAATAGAATTAGCCATTTTTATACTGCAAACGATTCAACCAATATGATATCAGGGTTGGTTGATGGCAAAATTCAATCTCAATATCCCATTGAAGAAACATACCCATTTTATTTTATTTGTTCAAACAAGTCAAAGTGTCTTATTCATTCTCACATACATGCACACCTGTAAAATTAAGATCAGAGATTATCCTAAACTCATCCAGTAAACCCATGGATGGAGACCTAAGTGCCCAATTTAGTATTTTAATTCCAAAATAACTTACTTATATTTTTAATTAAATCACTTCCCTAACTGATAATATGTTGTAGTATATCTTACCGTCAGCAAAACATTTGAACAAATATAGGTAATCCTCGACCTAACTGTTTAGCAACTGCTATGACAGTGCTAAAAAAAGTGACTTATGACTGGTCCTCACACTTACAACATTGCAGTGTCCCCACAGTCATGTGATCAACATTCAGGCACTTGGAAATCTTATTGTATTTACAACAGTTGGCAGCATTCTGACGTCATGTGATCACCTTTTGCAACTTTCCCAGCTAGCTTCTGACAAGCAAAGTCAATGTGGGATTACACATTTGCTGAAGCAGCTGTGGCAAAAAAAAGGTTGCAAAATCAGATGCAATTCATTTAACAACCAACTTGCTTGGTGATGGTAGTCCTGGTCCCAGTGGTGGTCATAAGATGAGGACTACCAAGACATGCCAATTAGCACATTCTGATCTGGATGGCACTCACGAGAAGGAAATATATAGCTGGCCTGAAAATCAGTAATGACCCCTCATCGGATCAGATGAAGATATCAAGCGGTATCAGTCCTGAGTCCTCTACGTTTCAATATTTTCACTAATTATTTAGATTAAGAGGTGTGGGGAATATTTATCATATTTGGAAATGATACAAAAATGGGTGAAATAACTAACAGCCAAGAAGAGAAAAGTTATATTAAAAATAACCCTGATAGATTGGAGAAACGAGCTGAAGATAACAGAACAAAATGTAAAAGAGAACAATGTGATGGTTTTCATTTCAGACACATAAACCAAATGCAGGATTATAGGAAGGGAGATACCTAACTTATTGATAATCGTTGCAATACAAGTTTTTTGATCGCTAGTTGATTACAAATGATAGCTATATAATAGAGTGGCAAAGCAGGCAAGTGTAATGCTATGTGTTTGCATCCACAGAAATATCATTTGCAAGTCCACAGGAAATGATTGTTGCCCTCTACTTCAACAATCTTAGTCTGAATATTACACTTTAACAAGGATTTAGATAAGCTGCAGCTGACCAATAAAAGGCAATGAAGATTATCATGGAATGAAAAACAAAACCTCATAAAGAGAAATTGAAACACTTGTTTTGTTTAGCTTTGACAAAAGATGGTTAAAGGAGGATATACAACATCCTTCAAATACCTGAAAGGATGCCACACACCACAAGAGTCCTGCCATTCCAGGATGTAGGATACAGAATAATGGACTTAATTAATAGGAACACAGATTTTGGTTGCATAATACCGTAGGAGACAGAGAAAGCTTCCAGTCTGATATTCTCTAGAGAGTTGGTTGGTTCTCCTTCACTGAATGTTTACACGTAAAGACTAGACAGCCATCATTCCTTGATGCTTTCATTCAATGAACAGGAGGTTGGACCTGGAAGCCTAAATGGTCTGTTACAATCTATGATTCTATGTTATCCTCCATTCAAATAATCTGAATGAATAGAAAAATTATTTCTCCGTATATGTTTCTATTACAAAACAGAATTCTAACTTTTAAGAATATGACACTGTTATTGTCAGCTAGTGACTTAATGGAGCAATTATTATCAATTTAAAGAATTTGTTTTTGCTATTTATATATGTAGAAATGAAACAGGAACAGAGATGAGCTCTTGCATGCGTCAGAAAATTGAGAGAACTTACAGTATCACCATCTGCTTCTGGAACATTTAAGTAGTTCCATTTCCTTTCAGAATTTGAAGGAGAATTCTTTATGAAGTAGGCAAAAGGCAAAGGAAAGAAGAGCATTATGTAGCACTAATAGGGATATAGAAATTCAAGGAACAGTTTGAGAAAGTAAAAATGGATAAAGAAAAGACATAAACTGCTGTATGGAGAAAAGTGACTAGTAAATAACCCCCATTTATAGAGACAGATATACAAGAAATTATGTTATCTCTCCAACAATGAATTTAACCTTAGGCTGAGCACTCATTTTCCTTTTGCAGTATTATAGAAATATTTGGATAAAAACATTTTGTTATCAAAGGCTGATGTCTATCTACCCACATACCAACAATCTGTAGCTAATGTATTTTAGTCAACCATTTAAAATTGCTTAGAATGCAAGATACTTAAATGCTGTAATTACTATAGCAATTATACTACTTGCTAGTTGCCAACAAATAATTTACTTGCCAAGCATCAAATGAAATTATCCACAATTTGGTGTAGTGTTTAGGGTACTTAACTGGAAGGTGGGAAAATGAATTTTAGTCCTGCTTCTGGAATTTAGTCCTTCCAGAAGCATGAAAACTAGCTATGTGACTTTGGACTGGACGTTCTTTTTCAGTCTAACCGACCTGCCAAGTGGTTGTTATGAGGAAAAGAGGAAGCAGGAGAACTATATACACTGCCTTGGCTTTTACAAAATAAAGGAGGGATTTTATCTAATAATGACAACAACTATAATAGTGCTATCTTAAATGTTAAGCTGTTATTTGCTTAATATGTGTAATGTACAATCTTCTTTCTAGCACAAAAGGAAAATAATTATTGGATCCAGATGTCATCAGCCTGATGAACTTGGCCCTATCCTATGCCCTCCTGACATGTTGGACTAATTCTTATAAACTTCAATAACACAGCTGAAACTTCTTGTAATCCCCAGTTATAAATAAGCAAAAAGTAGTTACTATATACCAGGGGTAGGCAACCTTGGCTCTTTTATGACTCAGGGACTTCAACTCCCAGAATTCCTGAGCCAGCTTGGCTGGCTCAGGAATTCTGGAAGTTGAAGTCCATGAGTCATAAAAGAGCCAAGGTTGCCTACCCCTGCTATATACCATAACTATTGGCTATATCCATCAAACTAAGTGCTTTTGTTGAACAAAAATTAAAGTCTCTAAAATCCAAATAATGGCAATGGCATTTAATCTACTAAAACAGGAGAACTGAAGCTAAAAATCAGCCATGGAATGAAATACAACAGAATAAAATATATTAGAAAGGAACATGGTCTATGTATCAAAAATCTAATATACTGTAGGAAGAAATTGTAAAAGGAAGGCATGCGTATGCATTTAATAGGAACTTACTATGGAAAATCCACTTGCCAAATTACTTTGCCTTTTTGAAGAGCCAGAGGCTATAATGTCATCCATATCCTCTTCTGCTTCATTCAGGTAGTCCTAATGGGAAACAAAAGCACACACCCACCATTAAGGAATCAAATGTATTAGGAAGGGGGTGAGTGAAGGACTAAATGGGGAAAAAGTTATCTTCTGTTGCTTTTTAAATAAAACCATTTACCTTAACTTCAGTATCTTGCCCTGTTTCACTTTTTCTCTTTAAGAACATTTTAGTGTTTGAGATATTGCCAGTTATTGTGAACATCTAGCCCGTCATACTTAACAATAACAGCTGAAACTCTCCCTTACAAATTATACCGAAAAAGGTTTCCTTACACACAGTTATTTAAACTGTGTCCCCTAGTGTGGCTGATCCTTTTAACAGCCAAGCTGAAGCTCTGCTGAGACTGCAAAGATGGAAAACTGAAGGGAAATGCTCTCCTCTGCCTGCCAAGACTGAAAGCCCCGTGCAATTGCTCTTGTGGTTGTTAGACATGGAGCAGCTGCCAGTGACGTTGGAGTTCCACTCTGTATTAAAATGTTGTGTTCTGCTAGGCAGCTGCCAACTGCCACCCTTCACTTCAAAAGACAAAGCAAGTGCTGACAGTGGTTCCTCTGGCTGGGCCAAATCCTGAAGCTGTGCTTCAAGGGGAAAAACAAATCGATTACATTCACATTTTTGCCTGATTGTTTCACGTGTTCACTTTATGGTACTATGATAGAAGGAGGACAAAAAGGTGGTGACAGAGGTGGTGGTAATAACTAAGTGGAGTAGAAACTGAGTATGAAGCTGATCCTTGTTCAGAAACATCTTCTCTTTCGAGAGACAAATGAGAACAAGTCTCAAAGGCACATTTAGCTAAGGATCTGTAAATTGTTCGGGCTGTGTCCATAGAGGGAGAAGCAAGAGATCAGGAACAGAATCCATGTGCAGATATCAGATAGATAAAGTTTGCAAAGTATATGTATTGCTGCCATTGCTCACTAAATGAAGGCAACTCATTAACTATTCGCATATATTTGTACTTTTGATATAAACTGTGACATACATATGAATTACTGGAATCAGTCAAATCAAAATAAAATAAAAAAGTCAAAATATTCTAATCTGTAAACTTTGTATCTTTCCAGCTCACCACATCATGGTCCAGTGCTCCAGGTACAGATTTACTTCTTAAGCTTAAAGTATCTTCATTTCCTTCTGAAAAGGATCCGCTGAGATCTCTCTCTGATCTACTACGATCTGCAAAATATAAGGAAAAGCCATATATAGTGTATTAGCAATCTATACAGAAGATATTGTATCTTTTAACTTTTTTGTATGATGGATTATGTATCTATTTTTCCACAACTTCTTGTTTTTACCCATCAATTTCCTCTTTGCTAAATCCTACAGAAAAGATAAAATTCAAGAACGAAAAAGATAGATCACAGGAAGAAATCCAGTGGTGTTTTCGTTTTTTTTCATTCTTTGGAAAATCAAACAAGTAGAGGGAAAATGTATGTCATGCAAATTGAGTCTCTAACACTCCTGCAATCTATTTTTAGTAAGTGAAACAGTTATTAAGTCTATCTTTCATCCAATTGCTATGCATATAAAAGTGTTGAATAAAATTTAGAGAAGAAATGATCAGCAAAGGCTAAAGTTTACAGATGTTTATAAAAAAACCCATCTCATCTTTGTTTTAAGAATAATTATGATAGACACATAGCGATTTCATTAAAGGGAAAGAACCACAGTTCTACAATAAAGTGTGCATTTTAAAGCAGAACGTTCCATTCAGCCCTATTTATCTTCAGTTGAAAAAGAATCAGACAGCAGGTGACCTATGCCTGGAGAGCCACTGGGAATCAAATAAACAATATTGCACCAGGATCCAGATCAGAATTACGAAAAGTGCAGACCATCGTTATCTTTTGATGGTCTCTGCAATCACAACAGAGTTGGTAAGCCAAAAATACGGTCGGTCGGTCAGTCGGTCGGTCTTTGTCTTTATTGCAGTACACTTTGCAGGAATATTATAGGACATCCATTTCACCCCTGAGACCACCTCACAAAATCTCATCTAACTCCCTCCCTTTCCTCTTCCAAACTGCATTTGTCAATATAACCCTGAATTGATAAAAGCTCTGCATCTCTGATCTAGAATGACAAAAGTTGTCTGACCTAGTATAAGGCTAATTCTTAGCAATTCTAAAAAAAAAATCCCCAAGAGAAAAAAAAACATGGGAGAAAAAACAAGCTAAACAATGAAAAGGGGTAGTGATAGCAATTCACAAGTACATTAAAGTATCAGTAAGTGAAAGCTCACCAGATGATAAAGATGTCCTAGAAATTGCCACAGAAGGTGTTCTAGATCCTTTCCTACGATGCCTTTTTGACAAATCTGCAGGGATACTTTCACTGATAGACATAACAATGTTGTTTTCTAATTCAGAATCCTGTTCACACAAAACAACATATATTTAATGAATCACACATATAAGAAAACTTTTTAACATATGAAAATACACTAGTTGTATTGGAAGCAAATCCCCACAAGTTCAATCCAATAATTCTAACTTTTCATTGTTTGTTCAAAAATGGTTGTTACTCAGAATTTGCTTTAACTATGATTTGTTAAACATGTAAGAAATAAGCCAGAATCGTCTTAGAATGCACACAAATAAATTAAGACTATCAAGTCAATCTCAATTTGCTTTCTCCACCATCTCTCTGTCCAATACTCAAAAGACTGGAGCAAAACAAGTAAATCCAGATTCTAGATTTGTCACTATGAAACAATTATTTCTCAAACCAATCTCTTTTTGCACCAATCAACTTACCCGGCCATAGTCAATAGTCATGCTGCGGGCACTCAGTGCTGGTGACCTTGGATAGTGTGGAGTGGAAACATTGCTTTGGCTTTCGGCCTTTTTCATGTTGTCTGTTATGTCTCCAAGAACATGAATATCTGAGGAATAAGAGTTCTCCCTAGAGAAATTGCACTAAATTAGCCTTCTAATTTAGGTTGATACAGATAAACAAAAAAGGAGAAATTACCTATCAGAAATGATGTTCTGTCAATAGTTCTAAAGTAGTTAGACAAATACTTTAGAGGCATGAGGACATTTTAACCTTGCATCAGCTGGATAGCAATCTTAATGCCATTTAATACCATTTTACATATATCTATCTAAAATCAAAGAGAACAAGCTGATTAAAATTCTCAATCTAGCATCTTATATATGTTTCAAAGTGTAATAACCAGGGTTAAGCAAAGAATAAAAAATAAATAAAATAGAACATGTTTCTAAAGCCACATATTTGTCATTTGCAGAAAATCTTGGGAGTTCTAGGTGACTTTAGGAGTGCCTTAGCATGGTAGCAACAAGAGATTGGGAAAGTTGTAAACCCCATTCTATTTTTCACTTTTTAAACACAGCTGTTCACTGTGTTCTAAGTGGTCATTTTGTCCAGGAATCTTCTAGGATCAATTGAATACCTACCTTCTAGTTTAGTAAGAAGTTAATGTCTTCAAAAGTTATAAAATACAAATCAGTTTAATTGCTCCTGAGAGAAGACTGGATATATGTTTACAAAAAGCTTAATTAAAGAAGATGTTTCATAATATTTATTGCTTTCTTCATTCAGGAAGGTTCTTTATTGATTTCTTTTCACCCCAACATTTTACATTCATTTTCACAATTATCTGGCAAGTGATGTAAATGGATCTAAACCAGTGATGGCGAACCTTTTAGAGACCGAGTGCCCAAACTGCAACCCAAAACCCACACCGGGTTGGTGTGGCCTATTAGGTGGGTGTGGCCCATTGGGTGGGCATGGCTGCGGTGGTAACAGGAGACTGGGTGGAACTAAAAAGTTCAATCAATCAATTCCAACTTTGCAAGATCTTTTTCTTTCCCGCGAGAAGTTGAAATTGACTGATTGAACCTCTTTTTTTTTTTTGCACACGGTGGTGGAAGCCTAAAGTGAAAAGGTTTTATAAAACTCAGCTGAAGCCCTAGGACTGGGGCAATGGCGCGCGTGCCCACAGAAAGGGTTCTAAGTGCCGCCTCTGGCACCCGTGCCATAGGTTCGCCATCACTGATCTAAACTATGGCAATATATTTACATTTTACATTTCCCCAATATAAGCATATCACATTTGTTATAGCTGATTAACAGACCTTCATGGGACGTGCCCCATTATGTAGTATTTTAGCATGTGGGCCACAGGACATGGCATAATTGTTCTGACGCTGCTTGTGGAATTGTCCACAACAGTCACATTCCAAAGATATCTGAAATCTTAGTCACATGCTATTTAGCTGCTCCAAATGCCTCCATCTGTTTGTCTTTTCCCCAAGAGGACTAATGTCCTGATGTACCAGTTTAGTAAAACAAATGATTCAGAACTTGACCTGCCTTACAATTCCTGCCCAGTTTAGATTCTTGTGACATTTCACAGAACTTTGTCTACTGTTCTTTTACTCAATAATTAACACAGACCTACACTTGGATTTCTTAAGCTGATATTTACAAAATGTCGTTCTCATTGCACAAGAAACTAATGTAACAGAAAGAGAATGATATCTTTGCTTTATGTTTGTTTGTTTATTCATTAAATTTATTTGTCACCCAACTCAACCACAAGGTGACTCTGCTTGCAGCTTTCAATGTTAAAAAGAATAAAACAATGCAACCAAATGTATACAATAAGAGTAAAACACTATAAAATGTAAATGTTCTTTCATCTTAACTGGTATTTTTAACTAAAATGTCATTTTATTTTATTTTACAAATAATTTTGGGTTTGCACATTTGTTTGGCCACCCTGTTCTTTCATATTCTGATTAGCTATTATGAAAAAACAAAATAGTGTTGTGATTCTTTGCAACAATAAAAAACCATAAGAGAAATAGCTAAGGCAGCGATACAATCTGGCAACTCATATTTACCTTTCCCCAACCTGTTTTCTGTCTTGCCTTTTACAAGTATGTTAGATGTGTAGATAAAAGGAAATGTTTTATTTATTCATGAGTTGCCTCCCTTACTTCCCTGCCCTTCTGCTGCTGGACTATACTATGGACTATGATACATTACAGGTTACACTCAATGGCCACACTCTGCATGTGAAATGGAATTTTTCAGAAGGTCAGAGTTGCTTTGTTTTCGGTTTTTTTGTACTAATGCTTGAGGTACCACTGAAATGTACCTTGTAAAGAAGAGGAAATTTCTAGAATGGCCTTGGAATGCATGTAAGGATAAAGAATTAAATGACTGGAATTGTGCATATGTAGCTCACCAGAAATCTAGTTATATGAACAGAAAACTCTTCTAATTCTTTGCTTTGCATCCCAGATATTTAAACCAACCTGCAAAATTCCTGAGCAACAGCATTAAATTTGGAGATGGGATGAAGGTGGCAGCCTACAAAGTGAAAGAAAGAAGCCCCCCCCCCGCATGACTACAATTGTTCACTACTACACCCTCCTGAAATCTGGCCACCCTAAGTTTTGGTCATTAGGGCCAGATTCAAGGTGATTAACAGCCATGTATTTCTTATATTTTGCTTCTTTTCTTACACTAGAGAACATGAATGCAACAATGCATATGAGTAGCCTATAATTAATCTGGTACTTCCTATGGGCATGACAAAATCTGCATACTAATGGCATTTAACCATTAATGTGGCTAACTCACTCTGGGAGCTAGGCAAGGTGAAGTCTGTGTACCTCTCATTTTGCAAGTGCGAAAGATAAATGTGTGTGTGTACATTCAGAGAATTTGAAGAGTACTTTCTATAAAAAGGCTTCATTGAGGACTGCAACAATTGATCACCTTACTGGTTTCAAGATCTCAAATAAGCACTATAGTGTTAAAGAAATTACAAAACATAATGGAACATTTTGAGGCCTGACTGAATTTGAAAAATATATCACAAAAAATTTAAAACTATTGAATTTTGTATTGAAAAATGTATCAAACAGAATTCAAAACAAAATTCAACACAATTCAAAATTTGTTGAGGTTTGTAGATAAATTGCTGTTGAAATACAATTCAAAAACTGAAAAGTCAAAAACTGTATGTTAAATAGATGAAGAATTTAAACAGAACAATTGACTTTCAGTAATGGGAATATCAATGGAAGAAATCTAACATACAGTGAACTTTTCACTTGGGAAAACTGGTACAAGATTTTATTCATATACTATTCCAGTCCTGATTGCTAAGATAGATATTTCATTCTATAAAATTGTTAAAACAGCAATAATTAGATCTTTTTTTCATAGTTGGTAGAATTCTGCAAAGCAATATAAAACAATAAATCTAGTATAAAACCAATAATTGAGATTGAATTCTCTTAAATATTACCAAACCTTATATTCTCATAAAATATATTGTACTAGGCTTATATACAGTTACTTCTGTTTCTCTCTATGTTCCTCATTAGAAATTATATATAATCCCTTCTACAAAAAAATAGCAAATTAAATGTGGAAATCAAATATAACTTTATATTTGAAAAACAAATCTGATGCAGAATTTAATTCAGTATGGAAATTATTCTTGGATTATAATACTATATATAAACTTATAATTTGTACTTTTGAGTTCCTTATAATGTAAGGTTTCAACATTTAGCTTTTCTGTGACTTGCTAAATAAAGACACAATTTTTAGACTAGAGAGAAATTACAACGGAAAATTATCCTCATTTATAATTTGTACTATATTTGTTATTTTCATTAATTATTGTATATAATGTTGATTTGAACAATTAACTAAAGTCTTAAACTGACATAAGAGACTTTGTTACGTAGAATCAAATTAATGTTACTTTGAGATTTTTATTTTCTTTTATGATGATTGTACTGCAAACTTCTGCATACTTATTTTTGAATTTCCCTACTTTTAGATTATTGTATGTTTTTAATTTTTTAACAAAGGTTTACAATAACTGTATTAGTTCTAAATAGCAAATGAAACATTAATATTACTATTTTATCTTACCAATTGGCAATGTGGTCACTTTGGACATCAGAGTCTGTGCTAATGCTTTTACCATCTTCTGCTTTCATATTTACAACTTCTTTGGTGACTGCCTTAAGAACCTTTCTGTTGAATACAGATATAAACATAAACAACATGGTGGTAAAACAAAATGCAGTGCTACTATTTACATGTTACTTTGCTTGTTATGAAAGATATTCATCACTAATGATTTATACACTTTTGTAACCTTTCCCTGTCTGATGTCTTCCAAAAAGACTAGATTACAAATCCCACTAAATTTCTGGTCAGGACTAAATTGGAGATTATATCATATTATAATTCTGATAAACATTTTCTAGATAGTATATATGCTTTACTCAAACTCTAATAAAATACTGAGTGAAAGATCATAAGTGCACAAAATATCCCAAAGTCCATTTTCTTTACAGCCTATTAAAGTATCTATAACTCTGCTCTCATAGTTAATTTTCTTGCTACCTATGATTTCAAGATTTTATTGCAGCTATATCAGTTATGAGTAAGACTATTGTTGCCCATATTTTTTCCAGTCAACTTCAAAATTGTATATCAGGCAATTGGAAGAAACTATTTGTAAAGTGAACAATTTATATGAGAAAGATGAGAAATATTAGATGAGAAAAAGTTAGTATTTAGGTTACTGAAATCCCTTTTTATAGTAGAATTTTATTTTCAATCATCTAAATAAAATGAAATGACTATAATTTTTATGGAAAAGTTTTAAATGCTTATAATTGAACTAAACTGAAGATTTGTAACAATTTTTTCATTCATAATAAAAAAACTTTACTTTCTATTTTGGAAATATAGGAATATTTTAGTACTTTATAAAAGGATACTTTACCCTATTTTCCTAGGCCCAGTGAGAACTAATTTTGTCCCACTTGTAAGTGAAGCTAACATATCTTGCTTTGATGTATCTTCTAAGGTTTTTGGAGAATGATATTTGGATCTGCCTTCTAAGAGTTCAGAGGAAGAATCTTAAAATGAAAGAAACACATTATCTTAACAAAATTCCTACAAAAATTTAAGCCAATTTCACAAATGATACATATTCACTAAATCAAGCTGGGATCACTGAAGCCAAAAGCACTCACAATTTGATATGTTTTTATTAGGTCTAGATATAGACCTAATATACCATGTTTCTCTTTTATGTATATTGTAATACTCTGGCCAACTAACATAAATGAAAAAATAGGGGGTGAGGGGCGGGAAATACTCCCCATAAAATCCTTTCACCATATGCCTATCAATAGAAAGCCAGAGAGAGGGAGAGGGTAGGTAGGACTATATGCAGTAATAGGATACATTTTCCATAAAATTAATCCCAAACCATTTAAGCTTTAAACATTATTCACAGATATGTTATGTTAGGTAAGGTGACCAACCGTCCTCCTTTAGGGAGGACAGTCCTCCTTTTGTAAGTTCTGTCCTCCCTCGCAAAGGGTCCTCCCACATGTCCTCCTTTTCGATATTTGAAGATTAATCTGCAGGGCTTTTTTTTTCCTCATAGAACGCTCAGAACGGCATTCCGGCACCTTTTTTTGATGGTTTTTTTTCAACTTTTGCATGAGCTGTGCTACTCCCCCTATTGGCTTTCGAAAGCCAATAGGAATTGCTGCTGAACGCAATTTTATTTACAATATTTTTTCTTCAATTTATTTGTGTCCTCCTTTTCATTGTAAAAAAATTGGTCACCTTATGTTAGGCTCAAAAGTTTATCAGAAATCAAAGAGAAGTCAAGCATGCTTCATGTAACACAGGAAGAGTAGAATCATTGATAACTATCTATTTCTTGGTACCAATAGCTCCATGTGATTATTCTAATGCAGCCTTACTCAATCTGATGCCTTCCAGATACATTAGAGCTACACCTCGCAGAATTCCCAGTCACTTCCAATTGGGAATTATGGCCCCAAAACATCTTGAAGACATCAGATTGGGTAAGGGTACTGCAATATATGTAAGAAACTATATTGAATGGATAACCTTATAAAGTGCACCGTCTTTGGTAAAATCTTCCCTGGGAAGATGACATTAGAGTGTCTTACCATGTAAGACAGAAAGTAAGCTTATTCTTTACTAGGCCTGACTATATAATTTGTTTTGACTGGCAACAGTTTTCCAAGATGTTGTGAAATGCCTTCCCAGGGTCTGCATTTGCATTGTTATATAGTACTTGGCTTGAAGGACTTATTTTTACCAATAAGATGATGGGATAAGAGACTAGCATTCGTTGTAATGTATTGTACTGAAAATATATTTGGAATGCTCTAGATTAACTATGTTGCAAAAATGCAAAGATTAATTAAGAAAGCAGCAATACTTTAATCAGTTTGGGACAACTGTGGTCCTCCAAAGTTGCTCAACTACCAGTAGTCTCCCAATATGCAACTGCCCACTGGCCATACAAGCTGGAGCTGTTGGGAGCCTGTAGTTCAGCAATGCTCCCATATGTCTATTTGGAAGTACATATTTTGCTTTTCTGTTTTTTACCTGGAGCTTTGCGAAGAATAGACTGCCGAACAATATCAGTTCCAAGGAGCTTGGACTGCTTGAAGCGTTTTGCTCTCTCTTCAAAGAACCATTCACCTGTTACTACCCTAAGTTGCCTGTATTAAAAAATGAAAACACTGAAGTCACTCTAACCATTAGTTGGTATTAACAGAATAACAGAATTGGAAGGGACCTTGGAAGTCTTCTAGTCCAACCTCCTCCTTGAGCAGGAGAACTTATACCATTTCAGACAAGGGACTGTCCAGTCTCTTCTTAAAGCCTCCGGTGATGGAGCACCCACAACTTCTGAAGCCAAGCCATTCCACTGATTAACTGTTCTCACAGTTAGAATAGCCACTTAGTCCTCTGCTTACCTCATCCATCCAAGATATTTGTGAGTATTGCTTTAGAAATTACTAAGACGAAAAACCCCTCCCCACGCCTATGTAAATACAAGAGAATGAACTGGAAACAATACACCAAACAATTGTGCCATTATTTACACTAAGCTACAATGTTTCATCAAGTCCACTTTAAGATGTCATTAATACATTATAATGCAAATATATGCAATTAAAACTTAGAGTAAACAAAGGATGTAGGAGAAGAGCAGACAGAGCTGGGGGGTAGAGTTAAACAGGCTATTATCTTAGAGTCCTTATGCTGCTACAAACGATCCAAGTCTAGCTCTCCTTGAATTCCTTTGACCCTTATGTAGTGCCAATTTAGTGCTGACTGTTAGTTGACTAAATTCTTGTATATTGGCTTCAATAAATCTTCTATGCTGCAACTTAAGGTATGGTCCTCTTCCTTTGCATCTGACAAAGAATGAAAGCTTAATACTTCAGTTCTTTGTTCTAAATATATCTCATCCAATGACTCCCCTCTGCTAGGCTTCCAAAAAAGTATATCTTAAGATTGAAAAGAGATAAA